TATGGGAGAAGCCCACTGCTGGGGCTTACTAACTAGGCTTATTAACATTTGTTAACGGTCATTGACTAGGCTTATAAAAAACTAGGCTGATTAACATAGCTTACGAACTGCTGGGGCTTACTAACTACAAGGTGGTGCCCCATAGTTAGCTAAGTTGGTTTATAACTCCAATAACTATGGTTTATGGTACTTATAACTATAGTTACTGGGGCTTATCAACCAACTTATAACTGGGGGGCACCACATTGTAAGTGCAATGATCCTCCAAGTAGCGATGGGTTCAGGCTGGAAGGAGAGCTTCAGCCGCTGGAATCGAACAAGTCCAAGCCGTTGGGGAGACCCAAAGGGAGGGGGTTAGGATTTCAGAAAGGGGGGAACTAAGAAATCCCGAAGAAAAATTAGGGGATTTACCAAACACAGTCCAAAAACCCATGGTGATTTAAGGGGATTTCAACATATTTAAACTCATTAGCCTCAGTAACTCAGTAAAATATTTATCACCATGGTTAATACATATTTAAATCCCCTTTAAACATATTTAAATCCTCTAGTTTTATTTCTTTGGTCTGTAGCTATGATGGCTCATCGAGTTCGATGCCCAGGTTCGACCTGGACTTCGAGCAGAAGGAGAGGGGGTGGGCCCGGCCCCCTCTGCGGTCTGGGATGACCCAGGAAAAAGCCAAGGTTTACTGGCGAGAGAGATAGTGATTTCAGCAGAAAAACATGGTTTTTCGCATCAAGAATCATTGGGGGCAACCATGGAAGTTGATTTTCCCATTAAAAATGGTGATTTTCCATAGTTATGTTAGTTTACCAGAGGGTATCTTCATAAATATTCCATGGCACAAATATTAGAATATCATGAGGTCACCCCCAGCCAGTCAGGTGACAGCCCCCAACACTGTTCTGGGTTTGTGTTTGGGCGAATCTTCACCAGCAATACGATACGGGTGAATCTTGGCCAGTGGTGTTGATGGATTTTTCCTGAAAATAGACATACCACCTGGTTATGACATTCACAGAAATAGCCATGGAAAATCATCACCATGCTATGAAGTTCGGTAAACCATCTATTTCTATGGGCCATCATTTTCCATGGCTATGTTAAATAACCAGATGGTCTTTCTATTGGTGGCGCGGCGATTGCAGGTTTAGGTGGAGGGTGCAGTCATGGCTCAGATGAAAGGATTATCAACAATTTAGAGGTCAGGGATGCACATGCCATTGCAAATAAACCCTCGGAATAGAAATGATAGCAACATAGCAACACGCTTGAGGAACTTCTTCACATGGATGGTGTGTTCTTCCTCAGGTTTCGAACTTTTGGATCTGTATTGGGGGTTGCCTTAAGCCATTACTTAGGATCAAAGAATCTTGATAAAGAACCTGACCAGCAAGACAGGTTCTGTCCCTGAAAGTGCAAGATTTGAGACTGCGGATGAATTCACAATCCTGGGCCTTTGACGATGATGATGATGATGATGACGACGACGATGACGACGACGACGACGACGAGGACGAGTGCGTGCCATCTTTTTTGGGCTGGCGGGCTAAATCATGGGTTAGAGTCGGTTAGAGGGAGTTTTGCTGCGTTCTCCTTATTACGCGGCAAACAATCATGGCTGGCCGGAAACGTCCCAGTCGATGAGTTACCACGGCGACAAAGTCAGGATTTTCCTTTGCCGAGCTTGATGAAATTCCACAACTCCACTTGGACAACAGCTCCACGCCCTGAAACCGCGTCATGCTGTTTCACTTTTTTGGTGCGCACCCCAAAAAATGCACTGGAAAACAACCGAAACTATATCTAAGCATCCCGATGAACCCCTGTGGACGGGTCGTATCTAACCCCTTTTGTTGGATAGGGTAGCTTGGTTTTAAACATTTTAAACCTGAGATTTTCTTGACACTGTGGCTGATTACATGCACATGTTTGTTTTATCTCCACCTCACTTTCAGTAGAAACTTTTTTCGTAGGTGAAAAGAATGACCCCCATCATACAGCCAAGTTATATCCACATAATTATCATAATGAGTTTGTCTGAGAATAGGGGCCCCAGATATTCCCCATACATCCCACTATATTCTCATATCCATCGTTGTTGCTTGTTTTTGCTTATTGTTAATTACATCCCCCTATCACATTCCCATCATATTCCAATTCTGTTTCCATTTTCCCCATACATTCCCATTATTACGAACGCATTTTCCAGGTTTTCTTTTACATCAAATCCATGGCTGGTTGGTGGTTTGGAACATTAATTTTATGACTTTCCATATCTTGGGAATGTCATCATCCCAACTGACTTTCACTCCATCATTTTTCAGAGGGGTTAGCAAGCAACCACCAACCAGCCATGGTTTTTCCCCCTCAAATCCCTGGTTTCCGAAGAAGGTCCCGGTGGAAAATCCCGCGGATGTTCCAGGCAGTGGCATGCCTCCGGGATGACGTGGACCCACTCCCACCCGGTGAGCCGCAGACCGTCCTTTGGCGACGACTTCTATGTTGAAATGGTGATTTTCCTGGGGGAAATGGCATTGTTTTAACCCACAAAAAATAAAAGTTGAGTGGGAATTTGCTTTTCTGATTTTTTTGAGGTTGCTTTAATGTTGATTGGTTATGACTGTTTGCTGTTTTACGATCCGCAATGAATGGGATACCTATTATTCAACCAGTATAATGGGATGGGATGAGGTAGTCTTCATGGCCCTCACGGCCCTCTACATACCTCTCATCTCTCCCCCGCTCCCTCTCTCGTTTTACGTGGATACACTATATCCAGCTGTATTGATCTATTTAATTATGTAGACATTTCATGTTAACCCCGGATTGATAAACCATGGGGGGTTTTATTTTCGAAGCGTGCTCCCGTAAAAATAGTGATCATCTGATACTTTTTTTTGGGTAGCCTCCCCACTTAAACAGCTTACGGGGTTTATTCATCCAACCGGTTGATAAAGAATCCATTGACTTAGCTAAAGGGGCCCCACTTCGTATGTGTATTCGTCTATTTTTAATGATTATAACTGGTTATATAATCTTATATAATGTTATATGTCCCATTAAGATCCTATATATGGCTATGGATCAATACCTATAAGCCTATAAAAAAGCATTCCTAGGGGGATGAACATCCATAAATTCCAGCTATTTTGATGTGAGCAGAAGGGGTTTATCCGGTGTTGACCCATCCCCATATCGGTCTACTTCATGTAGACATGAATTGGGAATTGGGCTTTATGTCCATTTAATCCATTTAAATCCCATACATGGAATATTTGACATATTCACATACCCTCTGGTAAACAAACATAGCTATTGAAAATGGCCCAGTCGAAATAGTTGATTTTCCCAGCTACAAAATGGGTGGATCTTTCCAGTTCGCAAACCGTAAACGTTTACCAGGCCGGGTATATATATATATATACATTTATATTTATATAATAATTACAATATGTATATATATATATGTATATATCTGAAATAGACATGGAACCCAGCCATCCAGGTGTCACCAGGAAGGCTACACCCGACCTGGGTCACGACCACGACCTCCTACGACTCGCCATCTCCCGTGGACGCTTGGGGGTCCGGATTGGTGGGAACCGGCCATCGTGGGATGTTCGTGGGATGTAAACAGCCACATAACTATGGAAAATCACCATTTAGTTCGTTGATTTTCCCATGAAAGAATGGTGATTTTCCATAGTTATGTTGGTTTACCGGAGGGATGTAAACTAACATAACTATGGAAAATCGGCCACAATTCGGATTTAATCGTAGAAATTTTATGGATTTTTCATGATTTAAACTTTGGTTATGACTAACGCTTCGCCATGGAAAATCAGCATTTTAATAGGTACAAAAAATCCGTTTCTATGGGTCACCTATACCATAGCAAACTATGTTAGTCATAACCAGAGGGTTTAGGGTTTAAACCATGCTTAAATAAAGGAACTGCTTGGAGGGAAACATTTGACCCCTAAAAACAATTGTGGTTTATGGCCCGATGCCATATTTACAATCCCCAATAGAGGTAAAAATTGTTGGGTGTTGACACCCTGACTGGGAAGATGTGGAAAAACCCAGTGACTAGGTTTGTTCTTGGGATGATTTATGGCATTTTTCATGGGTTTATGGCATTGTTATGAAACCACCCATTATATACCCTCTGGTAAACGTTTACATAGCGAACTGGAAAATCACAATTTTTCACGGGTAAATCAACGAACTAAATGGTCATTTTCAATAGCAAACTGTTGAATTACCAAAGGGTATATCCCATTACATCCCCATACTAGTTGGATGTATCCACATGAAATATACCTAAACCATTGATATCTAAATTCTATGAAATCCCATTAGAACGAGAAGAATTGCAATGCCTCACTTCACTAAGGAGTGAACGGAGTGAACCATCTTTCTGGGCCATGTTGCCGTTGAAAAAGGGGAGGATTCATTGCTAGGTCATATCATATCATGTCATGTCATGTTATATCTCCATATCTTCCACTTCTTTCAGGGTTATTCCAACCCACTATAAATTATAGGTAGCCTCTGGTAAATTAACAGTTTGACCCTGAAAATCACTTATTTTTTAATGGAAACTAGTCTTCCAACCCCTATCTGCCAGGGTCTATGTTAATTTACCAGAGGGTATATCAATAAACAAATACCAGTCACAAGGGGAAACCTTGGTAACTCTACACTTCTTTAGACATTGCCATTGAACCACCCCAAACGTACCTGGGTGTAGCAACCCTGAATCGGAAGGTTACGTGCACCGGTGCACCCAAGGAATCGTATGCTTATAAATACCACTTACATCACGATTTGAGTCTGGATGGTTGCAATTGAAAAATGATCTTAAAATGGATGACTTAGGGGTACCCCAATTTTGGGAACACTCTATATATTTGTCGTTTTTATAACCCCATCCAACTATAGATATCGCTACCTCCAACACTTCACCAATTTGGGCCTGGCTCAAGCCGCGTCTCCAACCATCCGCATCCGTTGCATCCGACGACGACGTGCCATGCCAAGTGTCAGTGGCCTATCTCAAAAACGGGGCGCCGGGTGAGTTCTGGGAGTTGAGTTGGTTGGGTTTCCACATGAAGTTTTCTCACGTGCGGGCCCATGAATGATGGGGAACCTGCCGATACAAAAGGGGCGAAGACAAAACAGGTTTCAGGCGCCCCTTTTTTTGATCCCCACGTGCACTGCATCACTTTCCACTGGGGGCATGCCTAATTTTCAGACACAAGTGGATATTGTTTGTGATATCCCAATAATATTACGGTTCCCTAGTAAAACTCAGCATATCCACATGACAATCCGTATTTTCCCCAGTTAAATCCGTTATATTTGCGTAATACCATACTATTTATCATAATTTTCCCTAGTTAAATCATTTTACATCCATGATACCCCCATAATCTCCGCATTTTCCCGAATTCAACCACCATTTCTGATGGCAAAATCACCATATTCCCTAGTGAAATCACATTTTTTCCATGGGAAATCCACTTTTCCCCGCCTGCCAGGTGAGGGTCTTTAGAATTGAACAAAGGTGCAACTCAAGCTCGTCGTGACTGTGGGCACCGGCCCGAGCCAGAAAAATCGCGAGCTCCGGACGCAGCTGGGCACGGGACCCGAACAAAAGCCAGAGAGAATGCCGGACAGAATGTCAGAATAGATGCCAGAAAGAACTGTCAGAGTATATGCCAGAAAGAATGTCAGAATATATGCCAGACAGAATGTCAGAGTATATGCCAGACAGAATGTCAGAATATATGCCAGACAGAATGTCAGAGTATATGCCAGACAGAATGTCAGAATATATGCCAGACAGAATGTCAGAATATACATATATATATATATATACATAAATTTAATACATATAGATATATATAATATAAACTTCCAGATGCTATGGCAGAGTGGGTCTCACTCGAAAGTTTTTTCAGCAGGTCCCAGCTCCGCGCCTGGCGCGCCTGGCGCGCCTGGCTTGCGGCGCCTCGGAAGCCTCAAAGCCAACAGCGCGGATGAGAGCTGCGTCTTGGTTGGGAACCATTGGGAGCTACGAAAAATGGACCCTGAAAAACTTACATAGGGGTAGGTCAACCAGATTAACCAGATTGGGTATATCACATAGAAAAAAAAACACCAATAGTCATACACAAAAAACATATTAACTATAGTCATACACCATATACTTACTGGTGCGTTTTACGTAGGGAATGGATGGGTTGCTGGGGGTTGCTGGGATGATTATTACTAGTGATGAAATGGATCATTCCCGAAAATTCCCTTCGTAAAACGCACCAGTAGGAAAACTGGGAATGAAACATTTTGCCATTTTTGCATGGCCATGGGACATTTCCATAGGTGCTGTATACCGGAGAAAAAATCTGTAAATTGGAAATAGTCCATAGTTATGGTCAATCATCTCCAAGTCATTGGACGCAATATGACATACCCGCCATATACACCCCCCAGTTACATCTCCAAATTAGTTTCAATACTGGTTGGTGGTTAACATTTTTTATTTTCCATCATGGGATATATAGTCCTTCCCATTGACTTTCACTCCATCATTTTTCAAGATGGTTAAAACTAACCACCAACCAGAATACCAAACCATGGTTTTCGTTTGAAGCGCGGTAAATGTTAGGATGGATCACCGGAAAACCCATTGGATGATCGTGATCCCCAAACGTCGCGGAAAACGCACGAAGTTCCCGGCCACGTTTGATTACCAGAGGGTACCCTCCGGATCCTCCGGGAATGACATTCACAGTTTGCGAACTGGAAAATGGCTATTTAGTTCGTTGATTTACCGCAAATTCATCCCAAATCCCTACCCATCCCTACCCTCTGGTAATTTAACAGCCATAAAAATAGTTGATTTACCATGATTTACCCATGAAAGATTGTGATTTTCCATAGTTTTTTGTATGTTTACCAGAGGGTAATGGGAAGATATGAACATTTCCGGGTGATTTTCCAACTGGCCAGGTCAAAAACAACAGCTGAGTGGCAAAACGTGGGGCAGCCGGATTAGGGTTGCCATCAAAATTATAGGCGTTAAAACAACAACTGGTTGGTGGTTTGGAACATGAATTTTATGACTTTCCATATATTGGGAAGAATAATCCCAACTGACTTTCATATTTTTCAGAGGGGTAGGTATACCACCAACCAGATATATTCACCCATACCTCAGTGTTTGGGAACGAATCAGTCGCGCTATAACTTACAGGAAAGGGGTTTTGTCAGTTATGTTCGTTATAAAATGTGATAAATACATATAAACACCATTAACTATATATATACATACTGTATGTCATATATCTGTTAAACCAACATGATGACTAAGCAACATTTTGACGGCCTGACGTTGATGGATTGGAATGAGGTTTCGATCTCCAGCAGGCCTTGCCCCAATTGCTGCGTTGCTGGGCACTTCACCGGTTTCAGCCCGATGGTTTCAGGCGATGGCCAAAACTCATGGAAGATCAGATCATGGAAATATGTGGACATGTGTATCTAATGATTTAGAAGATATTATAACTAGGAAGTAACTCATGGAAATGTTATGGTTATTTTGTTAGAGTATCATAAAATATGTGGAAATGTTATGATACTCTAATGATTTATAACTAGGTTAACTGACGTAGGGATCCCTACAGTTCTATTTTTTGTGTTTGATGGAACAGTATGGATGACACCCTCCACTAACATAGCCACGGAAAGTCCATTTCTATCCAGATCGTCTCCAAGGGGAACATTGGATTTCCATAGCATTTTGTTACCAGAGGGTATGGTCAATCCTTCCCATTGACTAATATATGGGATATGGGATGTCATCCTTCCCATTGACTTTCATATTTTTCAAGATGGTTATACCCTCTGGTAAACTAACGTAACTATGGAAAGTCACAATTTTTAATGGGTAAATCCACTATAAATGGCCACTTTCAATAGCTATGTTAGTTTACCAGAGGGTACACATAATAACATGCTTTATGACTTTCCATATATCAATGGATCGGTTTACGGGAAAAATTGCAGGAAAGCACCATATTTAATGGGAACATCTATGGTTTCCTGTAAAATTTCCCTTAAACCAATCCATTGATATGGGGGTTAGTACCATAATGATGCATAAGCAAGTAACATAGGGAACTACCTGCACAGAAATGCTGGATTTCAGCAAAAATTAAGGATTGAGTTATAATAAATCGGGATTTCACCAATGAATAATGGATACAGTTTGTCTCTATATAATGGGGAGATACCCTGAAAGTGGCCATTGACTTGGGGAAAATTATGATCAATGGGAATTTCAGGATCCTAAAATGGAGGTACTGTACCATATAAGGCCATATTTTGTGGGGATATTCCCTTACATAGGCCTTACATAGGCCTTATATATGGTAGGTACCTCCAATTTAGGTTCCTGAAATGGCCATTGATATGATACATGAAGGTTTTTGGGGTACCTTACCTTTTTGGCCAACCCCACATGCATGTAACCAACTAACCATCCATATTTATGCGGATGTTTATCTTGATGTTTATTAAACTAGTGGTTCTAACAGTGATATAGTAAGGGGAACCCCAAATGTGCATATTTTCACTTTAGCAATGTTTTCACTTTAGTAGTGATAATTTGCCAGGATGCGTTTCCAACAGCAACAACCCACCAAACATGAGTGAATTACAGAGTCCAAAAAAAGGACATGTGGGAAATCAACAGCCGCATCGCATTTGTAGACAGGGTTGATTTTCTAGCCCTGGGGTTGGTCTTTGCCTTCGGGGTGGGGGTATGCTCTAGGGCAAACCAACGATGTAGGTAGTCACCAATTTTTTTAATCGGTAATTCATCCTAACGAATAGGCAATTTTCATCCATTTTCCACATTTTTTCTTAGTTTACCCTAGGATAACACTGGGTAAATTATAACGACCTCACTGCGACCTCACTGGAATCATGGTTGGTAAGAGGAATTATCCCAAAATTGCCTTATTTCAGGTTAGTGAATTATTATAATTTACCCAGATAACAGACCGGGTTTCATGTGGATCTGTCCTTTCTTCCTGGGTAAACCTTGAGGCTTATTGGATGGTTCCACTAGCAGCCGTGGTTGGAAACTCTGCCCAATCGGGGTGAGCCGCTTGGATTGCCGTGATGGGGGTAGGAGTTTTTTTTTTTTTCATGGGGATATCCTCGATACAATGGGATAAGGGGTTTTGACTCAATATGACCATATCATACCATATCATGTATATTATACCCTCTGGTAAACATACAACAAACTATGGAAAATCACCGTTTTCAATGGGTAAATCCACTCTAAATCCACTCTAAATCCACTCTAAATCCACCAAACAATTATTCTAACTGATGTTTCAAACATTTTTTATTTTCCATAATACATGGGATAATCCTTCCCATTGACAAATATTTTTCAGAGGGGTTGAAACCACCAACCAGTATTGATTGTTCGAGGGACTTGGTGATGGACCAGTGGATAGACTGACATGATTTTCAGACTTCAGAAATGGCGTGATCTCATCCACAAATGGCCTATAATCAGCAAATAACCCTACAAATCGTGATATAACATATGTTATATAACCATATTTGACAATTATAGAACCATTAGTAACCATTAGAAACCATGATCAATCACTATTAACCACTATAAACCATTATTAACCGCTTGGTGGTTTGGAACGCGGCTGGATTATTTTCCATTTCATATGGGATGTCATCCTTCCCATTGACTTTCACTCCATCATTTTTCAAGATGGTTTGTAAACCACCAACCAGATGGTGTTGTTGCAGATGGTGGCCCGGTGGGTAGCTGAAGATCATTCAACATGTCCCACGGGCCAACCTCACGCATCGCATCATGACCTAGGGGGATATATCAACGATAGCCAGGATGCAGGAGATGCCAGGCATGGCCTTGTTGTTGATCCCTCCCTCCAAAAAAAACCCACAACATCCCATCATGGTTTTCATCATTTCCGAATTTGGATGACTTTTTGATGATTTTTCTAGATTTCTGTGGCGAAAACATAGCTAAAACTCATGAATTGTTTCGTGTGAAGTCCTGCACATCTCAGGCAATGCGGCCTGGCTCTTGGAGAATGATCATAGAGAAGGACCTGCAGAGCTGGCAGAGCTGGGGAGCAGATGGTGATGAGTGTTTTTTATGTGTACAGCAGGGCCAAGCCAAGGAATTTTTATATGAATCAATCACAATACATACACCCAGTAACCGGAAGATTGGGAAAATCATGGAAAATCCATCACAATTTCACTGGAATAGCTGACTTTTGCCATGAAAAAAAGGTGTTGATGTAGCCATGAAACTCCCTTCATCCACTTATGTTTTTTTTTTTCTCCCTATGAAAGTCACTGGTGAGATGATTCCATCGATCAAACGTGGCAATGGAAAGTCCCCTATGGGGGAAAAACATGGAAAAACCATTGAAAAAAATGGTGGACTTTCAATTGCCAGCTTTGATGACATGCATCTCATGCGAGAAATCCTGACAAGCCGCAAACATGAAATATGGTATGGCTGGTGTGATATGGTGTATGACTGGTGTGATAACCCCAGCCAGCCAACCTGCAGCTATCTTGCCGGGTCACTGGTATCACTGGTATCATTGGGTCCCATTTACCCTGGAGTACCAGAGGTTAACTGATATCATTGATATCCCAAGAATTCAGTCTCACCACGTCTCACCCTCAGTCTCTTTTCCTCCCCAAAAAGGTGGGGGGTGCGCACCACAGTGCGCACCATGGCACCATGGCACCATGGCACCATGGCACCATGGCACCATGGCATTTCGTAAAGCCATGGCCCATCTCCAGGATGGATGATCAAGCGCGTGAGTCGCAAACGTTTGGGCAGCAACTTGCCCACGAACCTGGAAAACTGCGATCAGCTCCTACAGAGATTCCCGGATCTTCTGAAGGCCCGTGTCACCATGTCACCATGGGCCGGGAGCTGCGGGCTTAGCGGGCCAGGTGTCGGTTGCACCCTTTTTAAAGGGGATAGGGATGGAGGTAAAATTCGGAGGCTTCAATTTTGATTATTGAAGATATGGGGGTTTAAGATGTATCAAAGCCTGCAAAACCCGGGACGGTGTATGGCACTGGCTTTACCACGTTAATTAGGTGCTTTCCATGGGTGTTGATCATGACATCCACTTGTACACACACACACACGCACACACACACACACATATATATATATATACATAGTATATGGTATATGAATATTTATGTATATTACATATCACGTACGATCTAGGGACTCTTGTACATCATTATTGTCAATGTTTTGCAAGATGCTATCTGTCGAACCTAGGTTTGCAATCCTGGTTTGATGATTCTTATTTTCGTTATTTATCACTATCAATTATCTGTCATTATTAAATCAATCTGATCAATTATCAATTATCAACTATCTATCATAATCAGTCATTGTTTCCCTTCTCATTCTTCAAAAATGCACACCTCCCAGTTTTTTTTTCCAAAAAGATGCCGAACGAATAGTGGAACTCCGGAAATCGGTGTCCTTTTTGGATCCCTGGTGGCCCGATGAGGTGCCGCCATGATGTGGATGTACCCAGGCAAAACCCCAGGCAAAACCCACGTATAAACTCTGGTTGGTGGTTTGGAACATGGAATTTTTATGACTTTCCATATGTTGGGAATAGTAACCCCAACTGACTTTCATATTTTTTAGAGGGGTAGGTATACCACCAACCAGAACTATATGACTATACTATAATTGAGCATCAACCATGTTAACTCTCCGTTCCGAAAAAGAAATTTGGTTATACGGTTATACAAATCCCAATTATTTATTTTTTTGTATTTTTTGGGGCTAGGTAAGAATAAGTAGACTGGGCACCATCATATTCCCATTCTATTCCCCATTTTCCCATGTAACATGCCCATTTTTCTATGTTTTTCCCCATGAAATCCACCAACCTTCAGCATTTTTGAGGATTCCCGGCTCGCCTTTCCCCATAGCACGGTCGAGATCTGGAGTCCCAACGGCAAGAAACGCTTCAAGTCTGCGGCTTGGACGATGGATCCGATGGGCGGTGGGGGTTGATGGGGGGGTCGGAGATCCTGTACCAAGAAACATGGTGGTGCAGCTATATTATCTGGATATAACCAATGTGGTGGTATAGCTAGCCAATGACGATGGGATAGTCTTGGGGTTATTGCCAAGTAATGGCTTAATGATGATACAATAACTACAATATTATTAAACTTTGCTTGACTAGTTAAATATTTAATGATGCAGTAATGCAATGTAATTGTAGGGATTCAAGATACAGTAACTACTTGACCCGAACATGATTGGGAACATATCATCAAACTAGCATCCTGGAAACACAGTTCAGCGTCTTTTTGGGGGTTGCTATACAGAATTTTACCTGGAGATACCCAATGATGATGGTGAACAACAGAATGCTGGATTTTACAATGGTGATGATAGAAATTATAGTAAACAATAGTGATACTGATGGACGCAATAATAATGATCATCCTCCAACTAACTCAAAATATCTCAAAAACAGCATAAACAACTCCTTCAGGAAATCCACAAGAAGCAATCTACTTTCTTGATGGATATTCCATATCGATGCTACTAGTATGCTGGAGTCCGGTTGGAGATGTTTTCCCCTGAATATGCGAGATTGGTATAGATTCATAGATTTGTCAAGGACATGGACAGGGTACCTGACGAGATTTAAAGTTTTAAGGACGATTTTGGGTAGAAGTTGCGTGTTTTGAGATGTGAGTATGGGGAGCCAACTTGGAATACCAGGAGCCGCATCTTTTAATCATGTATTTCCAAAGCCATCCGATGTGATTTTGGTGCGACATTTCTGAGCCATGCAACAAAATACATGTGTCTCTCAGGGTCGTTCTGGTGGAGGCAGGCTAAGAATTAGACCCCGGTTATCCCCGGTTAATTTCATCGACAATCATGGGAAACGAGGGTATGATCAGTCACTTAATGGGAATGGGTTGGACGCATTTGCGATTTTGTATGATATATATATATGGACATATTTTTCGCTTGATCCCACATATCACCCAAATATCGACATTTCATTGACAATCCACATAACTTGGGAGATATTTGGGAATTCGTTGCCGGCTTGGCCCTTTGCTGCCAATTGGGCAGTCTGGCGGTCGTAAAGACATTTTTTTGGTGCGACGTTTTGCACAGAACTGGTAACTTAGCGTTTGATTGAGATAGATCCTGGAAAAAATCGCGGTTCAAGTGAGATTTAATTGGGGTTTACAGTAATTGAGATTTGTTGACATGTGGTTTACTTGGGATGCAAGGACTCAAGGACCGATGATCATCATTTGGGGGGCTTTCAGGCCCCCAAATGACACAATTGGGCACATGGGTCTACATAAATGGGGTCATTATACTTTGGTAAAGTTTGGTGTAGTTTTTCATCGGGTTTGTCACATTTCTTAAAAGACGCAAGTGGTTGGATGGCCAATAAAACCCCAAGTAAACCCAATCAAATCCCAATAGAGCCAGACAAACACTTAATAACGTCACAAAAAACCTAATAAAGTCACAAAACAGCCCAATCAAGTCACAAAAGAACCCAATAACGTCACAAACACACTCCAATCAAGTCACAAAAACCCAATAAAGATCAAAAAGACAATCGCAATAACTGGTTGGTGGTTTGGAACATGGCTTTATTTTCCCATATATTGGGAATGTCATCATCCCAACTGACTTTCATATTTTCAGAGGGGTTGAAACCACCAACCAGTACCTATATCATTTTGGGATATTTTGGGCATGTTCCCATATAATTGGTTTACAACAGTAGTTTATAGCTTTAATGATGGGAAAATGGGATGATCCAGTGTCATAAAACAATCGCAATAAAGTCACAGAACTTCCAGGGTATTCGACTGGGGCCTTGTCTTTACCAAGGACCTCTTAGTCGCCCGGCGCTGCGCGGGAGTGCAGCCCCTTGGCCTAGCCATGGGCCATCCCGAGTTGATGAAACAGGAGGATAGGGGGGATATGCCACTTGTAAGTTGGTTCCTGGGTCCATCTACCCTCTTGTAAACGTTAACATAACTATGGAAAATCACAATTTTTAATGGGAAAGCTCACTATAAATGGCCATTTTCAATGGCTTTTTGTATGTTTACCAGAGGGTAAGATCATCTAACTATACCATAACCCCGTGTTAGCGAGTTAACCTACTTACTCATGGGTCATTAAATGTCCCCATTGAACATCACCCAACCATTAGGTATATGGTCTATAATGGCTACTATAAGGTGATGTCCAATATTCCCAAAATGGGACAGTTACCAACCCCTGTTACTGTACAATCCAACTTAGCTTCGGGAAGGGGGTCCCTTCCTGTGATTCAAGTGACAGACATGGTAACTCAAGTTGGTGTATGAACACCATCAACTAGTTCGACATATTTTTTACCCTATGGAGTTAGTGAAGTTATAAGTATTTCAGATGTTATAATCCAACTTCACTAGATAGTAGCTTAGTACATTGCCATACTGTACTAACTTCTATTTTGGTGCCCTATTTATTTATCACCATTTCTCTGAAAGTTCAGCTCCCCTTACTGCGGAGGTTGGGTCGCTTCATTGCCGATCTGGACTTGTCGACGTGGCAGGATCAGGAACGCCTCGAAAGCGTCTGTGCAGGCGCTGAGTTCAGCTCCAATTCTGAATGGGCTTTATGTTTAATCCATAAAGGAATTTATAAATGTAATAAATGAGTTTTATAATAAGTGGATTTTATATGTTTATATAAGTGGATTTTATATGTAATCCATTTTTATTAACACTTTTATGGATTGTCTGTAAGTGTTAATAGGGCTCATAAAGGAATTTACCACATCTTACAACTGGGGTTACTGGGGATGGCCACGTTACAGCCACCTTGCAGGAACCGTTGAGTGGATGAAACCCCCCCAAAAAAGGCAGGATTTTTCGCATCCCGATTGATGTGAACAAAAACCACCAAGTGGGGGCGGAGATGGCAGGGTTGGATAGGCTTGGGGCTTAAACGTTTCAACTACCTTCTGGTAATATCTGGATTATCTGGTAATATCTGGCTCCATGAATTTTGTTGGAAAATTCCCCGTTCAGAGATAACCGCAACATTTATACAAGGTGATGCCCCAGTTCGTTAGCTAAGTTGGTGAACATAACTCCAATAACTATGGTTTATGGTAGATATAACGAACTAGTTAATGGGGCTTATAAACCAACAAACATCACGTTTTGGGGCACCACATTGTAGGGGATTTACCGGCCAGGTTTGACTGCCGCACAGCTGCAGGCGTTGGGGAGTTGCTCGCGGACTTTCACAGGCAGTACAGCGATGGTGGCGAAGTGATGCCCCGTGGTCGTGATTGGTCGTGGTCGTGGCCGATGTCGTGGTCGGTGTATCCAGGGGCCCAGCCTTTGGTAAACATACCAAAAACGATGGGAAGATCCACCATGTTTAATGGCTAAATCCACTATAAATCCACCATGTTTAATGGCTAAATCCACCATAAATTCACCATTTTCAATGGGTAAATCCACCATTTTCTATGTCGCAAAGTGTTTGTTTACCAGAGGGTTACCCATTGGCAAAGCCATCAATGGGTAGTCCCTTGGAGAGGGGAAAACGCACGCGTTTGTCGCGTGACAAACAGTTTGCGACATTGAACATGGTGATTTAGTTCGTGGATTTAGCCATTAAACAACCATAGCTATAGCTATGTTTATGTGTTTTCAAACATGTGAGTCCGGATTTTTTCCCGCTTTCAGACTGAAGGGAGGGAGTTTGTGTTTCTAAGGTCAATTTGATCTCAAACCGGCCCCTAACCTGCCATCGTCAGCCGAGGTACCACACGGATTTTCACCCCACCAATGTGCTTTACGATGTGCAGACGGACAGTCTCACCATTGTCGACGCTGATCAGCAATGCTTGGGGGCGCAGTTCCTCTTTTTTTTAGGTGCATACATGGCCATGACATGCCAGAACTATAGGGACAATCAGGCAGTCCCCTCTAAATGGATGTTTCTAGCTGGGAGCATCATCTATGATGGATTTTCCAGCCATGTTCAGATTGGAGGGTATCTCCCCTATCTATCTGGGGTTATCAGAAAACCATGCCCCAACTATCCAGATGATAAGCCCCAACTATCCAGCCATCCGTTTCCAAGTGGAGTTTGGGATGCTTTTTGATGCTTTTTGCATGGCTTTGTTTTTTTGGTGATTTTTTATTTTCCCAATGGACAATCTACCATTTGGGGAATCTATAGTGAATATCTGTTATTTTGTGGGAACCCCTAGGTGCAAATCCAAGTTTGCTAGGTGCAACTATGTTCAAGTCGATATTTTTTTCATGGTCAGAAGTCTGAACATGGATTACATGGATTACATACCCATTTTTTTGTGGATGATTGGATGGTCATCAATGCATCATGAGTCAATTACTTCTCCCAAAAAATCTGTATGGAAGGCCGTGGCATGTTGTGGATGATCATGCCCGACATTCAGAATCTCCATGTTTGAGTATAGCATATACCCATCATTGTTGGTTTCATACCAATTGTGCGTGTACAGTCTATATGTACTGTATATATATATATATTATTCCCATGTGTTCCCATATGTTGCGTTCCCTGATATGGACCATATTTTTTGAATTAAATGCCGGTTATATATGCTGCACATACATACACACACATATGTATATATATATACATATACATACATACATACACATCATATTATCAATATATATATATATGTATATATATATATATACCCCATGATTGTGATAAACCCAACAAAAAAACCATCCCCTTAGAGTATTCGGGTGGGTTTTCCTATGACTGGGATGGTGCTCTTTAAAAAAAACCAGACATGGTTGGTCAATGGGACGGTTAAACGGATTGGGATGAAAAATCCCCTATGATATCGCATTAGATTAGTTCATTCTAGTAGGATCATATCCCGAGCTGATATCTTCAACCACAACATATTTTGATGCTCATCATGTAAGAAATCCATCTAAATTCCATCTAATTCACCAAGTTTTCTCCACATGAAATCCCCCATTCATAGAATTGGATGATGGGAACATTTACAGGAAAGCCCTATATTTCATGGTAAAAACCGTGGTTTCCTGTAGATTTTCCCGCAGAAACCAATCCAGTGACCCATGAGATCCTCGTTTTCCCCTGGTGTCAACGGTCACCGCAACCGTGGATCGCGAACCGAGGATCTCGAAGGGATGGGCTGCGGCGGCATCACCGATGACGTGGAGAAATTCGCCCTGCACCTCGGGATGTAATTAATGGGACAAGATGGGAAATATATACCCTCTGGTAAACTAACGTAACTATGGAGAATCACCATTGTTTATGGGTAAATCCACTATAAATGGGAATTTTCAATCCAAGTACCCTCTGGTAATCTAACAGTTAGCTATTGAAAATGGCCATTAGTGGATTTTCCCATGAAAAATTGTGATTTTCCAGTTCGCTATGTTAAATAACCAGAGGGTATGTAGTGGGAATATAACTGGTTGGTGGTTTGGAACATGAATTTTATTTTCCCCAACCAGATTGGGGATGATGATCCAATCTGACGAACTCATATTTTTCAGGGGGGTTGAAACCACCAATTAGATAAGATGGGATGTAGAATGGGATGAAACATCTTGAAACACGAAAAGCATGAAGAGAAACTACATGTATCCACGTATATACACTTCTATGCGTGTATATATATATATACACGCATATGTACATAGGCACATACACACACATATTTATGATATAAATTGATATAATGTATGTGACGCCTGTCATTGACATTTCATCCGCTGCAGCAAAAGGGTAGGGAGTGGCGGAGCGGTGCATTGGCAGGGAAAGGCCATGGGCATAGATGTTCTACAAAGTCATCCGCTGGTTGTGTGATGAAAATAGAAAGCAATCTTGTAGACCACCACGGACCATGGTTGTAAATTTACAGAATCACTAATCCTATCCCTCTAATAACTGTTAAACACCCCCAATTTTGGGCCCCAAAGACCTGTAAATCCCATAAAGGTCCACCATGGTTTCTGAGGCTGTCTAATATGAACGTGGGAAGGGAGTACTGGTCGGTTTTTGTTGCAGAACATGGTTCTTTTCCAGCCTGGTCCCTGACGTTTTTGGGGGAGGATTACACCTCCAATGGGGAGCCAGAGGCAGTTGGAGGTCCAGTGATCCAAAAGAGATCGACAAAAAAAGGGGATTGATCATCAATGATGGGTTTTCAGGGGCTCACCTTGGGGATATGTAGAAATGGCTGAGATTTTCGGATGGCGCACTACTGAGGATAGTTCAAAGACATTATTTTCAAGGACAAGTCGCATGGATCATTTTCCAATTTTGCTGCATCATTCTGGATACCCTCTGGTTATTTAACATAGCCGTGGAAAATCACCTTTTTTAATAGGTAAACCATCTATTTCTATGGGCCATTTTCCATGGCAAACTGTTAAATAACCAGAGGATAAATTGCAACGCCCTCACTGTTCTCCCTCTCTGGTTCATGATGGGTTTATGGAGGGATCATCCCGGCACGGCCAAAAATGACAACAGCAATGACAACAGCAATTTTCAGGTCAGTGAATTCTTATCAGCCAGATTTATCATTATTGACAATGATTATATACAGTAAACATATAGTAAACATAAAATATGAAACATGAACTTCAGCCAGAAATTTCCTAGGTGTTTTTGCCCCTGCACTCGCCTCACCTGCACCAAACCTCCCAGGCTCATGAAAAACATAGTGGGGGAGCGCTATAGCCAAGCCTTTCAGCAGAGATATCTGCAGATGGCGCCGGAGGAAGTTCTGTCGGCGTAGCTGGGCCAAGGATGTCCCTAGTTGGGGTGGCATCTGGCAGAACGTGAGGGATTTCTTAGGTGATGGAACCAAGCAACACGATCAGAATAGGAAATACGAGGATTTGTTAGGTGATTTAACGAACCGGCACGAAAAGAATAGGAAATAGAAGAATTGTTAGGTGATTTAATGAAGCAAAATGATAAAATGGGGCTGGGAGAGGTGGGAAATATTGTGCGCACAATGAAATCACCAGCCACAATGATGGTTTATGAAATTGGGTATGCTCCTGAAATGGGATCCTGCTAATTGTGACCCCTCGGTTGGTTTGCTGAGTTTCTTTTGCTTGGATTTGCACCATTAAGTTGGTTGATACGGGTAAATGGAGGTTCCAAACCAACAAGCAGAAGTGTGGCCATTCTCGCCGGCAACCTTTGTGTTTTTCTTTATCATTTTATGTGTTTTTTTTCATGTTTTCCTATTGTTGGAGTTCGCAGATTTGCTCTAAATATGTTTTTCGTTTTTTTCCCACTTCATCCCCAGTTCTTTTTTTGGGGGAGTTGAAGATTCATGGCATCCTCCACGGACATCACCGGGACAGGATCCAGCCACCATTGTTGGTGCAAAAAACGGTTCCTGGTAGACCCAAGCATCATTTGGTTTGGAGGATCACCTGACGGTGGGCTTATCCCAGTCTATTTCATTACAATGATGTCTCATTACATATCTGGTTGATGTCTCATTATAAGACTCTACTGTAGATATAATCGTTGTCTATTTATTATTTCTGGCGGTTTGGAACATGGCTTTTATGACTTTCCATATGTTGGGAATGTGCAGCAACTGAACCTGTGCCTTCGCCACTGTCAGGTCATGAGAAGATTTGGTCGCACCAACGCGACATGACGGCTCAGGGGCCCCTTGTTTTAGGCGCCACATGTGCCATGCAGGCTGCAGCTTAGACCTTGGTGGTCTTGGAAAAATCCCAGCGCGCTGTGCGCTTTGTGCCTTCATCCATCCTACATCATTTCCTTCGTCTATTGCCTCTTGTTTGAATATTGGTTGGTGGATTTGGGTGTGAGCCCTGCTGTTTAAACCCCTGCGCTGCCCGCTACATTGGTAGCGGAGCAGCAAGCTCCTGGACCTTTGGCATTGACTTTGAGGCCACCACCAAAGGTGATTTGCGCCTTGCAATCAGTGCCTGAGTCTTTGACTGGCAGGTCTACCTGATTGGATACTACATCCAGTTCTCCTTGGACCTTTTTGCCGAGACCTTTGGCATCAGTTGCCTTTTTGTGCTGTCAGGTGATACGACCTGATCCTTTGCTGGCCATTTTGGCCTCCTCTGAAGCTTCGTCATGTCTTCAGAGAAAGATCAACAGAATATCCCATCATGGGATGGCAGTGCTCGAACCTGGCGTCGATTTACAAGAGAGGTTTGCTGGTATGTTCGTGGAACCCCAGTTGAGAAAAGACGCTGCTGTGCCACCAAGCTTGTTGGGAAACTACGTGGGCCTGCGAGGTTGCTAGCTATGAGCTGGACCACCATGGAGTTCGACCACACCAATGGTGTCAAGGAACTGTTGCAGAGGCTGGCAAACAGCCCCTTGGTTCGTCAAACCCTACCGAATGCTGCAGCAACATGTCAGCAGTACTTCAACTTCAGAAGGGACTACAACGAGCCAATGAACAACTTTCTTGTTCGTGAGGCACTTGGGTACTCAGAGTTTGTGGAAGCCCTCCTTCTCCTGTACGAGGACAAGAATGGAGTGAAACAAAGCGAGAAGAACTTCGACCTCCCGGACGAAACGCCCTATGAGGAGCGATCTTGGTATGGATGGTATCCTGAAGATGCTGAAGAACCAGAGCCCGATGTACCTGTTACATCCCCTGCTGCTGCAACGGCCGCTACGGCCACAGCTCCTGACTTTGGAGATGGCTCTATGGGAGCGACATCGCCGCAACGACGACCTGGTGGATCACCAAGCTACAGATCGGTTGGTGTTCCAAGCACCGCTGCTGCTGCTCAACCTCAACAAGGTCGTGATGCGATCGATGAGTTCTCCCTGACCGACAGCTTTGTGCTTGGAGTACTACGTGGCTTCAGGCTCTTGCAGTCAGCTGGATTGTCAGCTGATGAGAAAAGAGACATTTTGTCTGCCACCAAAGGCAGCCTGGAGTTCACCGTGATCACTCAGGCCTTGCAGACTCTATGGGATGAACAATTTCTTGGACGCTCTGGTGGAACTATGTCTTCGAGGAGCTCTATGAGCGGCTATTTCCAGGACACCTTCAACGTCTTTGAGGAGCCCTATGAACCTTGGTGGAGCGATGGATGGGATGAAAGCTATTGGGCGGAAGCTGATTACTGGCCTGATGAAGAATTGGATCAACACTGGGGAGATGCACAACATGTACAACATGACCAACTTCCTGCCGAAGAACCTCCTGCAGAAGATCCTCAACTACAAGATGCTATGAAGGTAGAACGTGAAGCTGAAAGCTTGGCCATGCAAGCTCAGCGCTCATGGGCAGAAGCTCAAAGGGCCACTGCAGCTCTTCGTCGAGATCGTGGTTTCGGTCAACAAAGCAGTTCTGGTGATGTCAAATGTTTCATTTGCAATGGCAACCACTTTGCCAGGAATTGTCCTGACCGAATGCATCCCTCCGCCAAATCCAAGGGCAAGGGCAAGTTCAACTATGCAGCTGAGTGGGAGAATTCCGAGCTCTTCTACATGAAGGGAAAAGGCAAGAAAGGCAAAGGGAAAGGCAAGTTTTCCAATCACATGTTGGATTCCAATGCAATGTGGAAAGGTAAGGGGAAATCCAAAAGCTCTCCAACACGTCCAGCAGTCAATGCATACATGACGGAATCACTGTTTGGTTTGGAACTTCGCTCTGAACCCTTTGAAGCGCAGTCCACCGATGCCACCAACATGCAGCCCAGTCTAGGTCTTTTAGATTGCGGAGCCACCGCAAGTGCCGGGCCAGAGACCTCTGTGCAGAAGCTAATCAGCTCTGTGTTGGCCCAGGACAAAGGAGCCACTGTGACCATCGCGAAGTATATGCGGCCTTACTTCCGGTTTGGGAATGGATGTTGGGGGCAAGCCAATTTCCGTGTTTCAATATCCTCAAGTGTTTCTGGAGTTGAAAGAACTTTTCATATGTATTGCCTGCCGGACCCCAAGAATGGTGATGTCAACAATTTGGTGCCTGTTTTACTTGGTATGGACCACCTATCTGGAAAAGATGCTCCCGAAAGTGCTCTTACGATTGATTTTTCGACTGGTTTGGCTGTGGAATCTATGAACCCCCAACCTGTTGTACATCAACTACAATCCAACAAAAAGGGTCACTATGTTCGGGACATTGTCAAATACCTCACTATGGGTTTTTCCAACCATGAAGGGTCTCCAACAATCCATGTGCTTGAGGGTGCGATCCAGTCAGCTGAGTTGCAAACACTTGAATTTCATCCAGTTCAATACTATGACATGTCCATGCAAGACAAGGTTTTTGATGAGCAGGTTTTGGAAAGGTCACGGCGGAATCTTTTGGCAATTCATGCACAACTTCATGGTCTTTCATTTTCATCCTCTATGTCATCAGCTGCTTCGGCTTCAATGTGTCCTAGCGACAGAACGACTCCCAATTCGAAGTTGCCTGCTTCCTGTGCGCGTGATGGCTCAGGAACAACCTCCAGTACAAGAACGGGGCAACATCTTGGAGCGCATCAAAGCAGCGACTCCAAAGACCAAAGATGTGCGACCCTTGGATCCCAGTCGTGCGATGGGCATGGACGAGAGAGATCCGCGGGTGGAACAAGCTCAATGGCCTTGCTTCGGACACCATGTCCCAGCGAAGGCACACAGCAATGCACACGGGCAGTGGACTCAATGCTCAGTGTGCAACCTGCGTCTCAACTATGTGCCGAAGGTGGGCAGTCACAGCGGCAGTACGAAGGTGGAAAACAGGGCAATGGTTGTCAGAATGCTGACCGAACTTCAGCCTTTGATGCGTGGAGCAAAGCCCACGGCAGCAATCTGCCTGGCCATGCAGAAGAAGATCGATGCCGAGGAAACCTTGACCCACATGATCGACAAGGAGTTCATGGCGCAGAACCCAATGGGGTACACTGTGGGAGGCCGTCCAAAGGCCAAAGCTTTTCCAACGAGGGCATCAACAACTGTGGAGCCAGTGCAGACTCCAAGATCGACGGCAGAAACCAACTGGGATGTGATTCCAGGATCACCTCCTCCTCTCAACGACTTGGAGAACCACCTCACTGCCGAGGAGAAGAACCAGCTTGTGCAGCTCATGATCGAGCGTCGCCAAGCAGCTGCGGCATCAACACCTGTGCCGGAGCCCGTGAACCTGACTGCGGCCTACGAGGCCGACATGGCGTGAAGACTGGCATTGACGAGACCTATGTCCCTGCGGAGTCCTTCAAGACCGACAACTTCAAGGTTTCAAAGGAGCTCTATGGCAAGTTGCAACCCTTGACCAAAAATGTGGCCACCAAGGTGATGATGTTCGCATCAACTATGATTGCAGCGGCAACTGCAACGATGTTGGACTTTACTCTTGATGGCCGAGATGGACTTTGGGAAATAGCATGCGCCCCACACTCTTGGTTGAGCCAAGCTGCCGAGCAACATGGCTTGCAGCCTCGGCGCATCAACCTGCAGAGCGGTTTTGATCTGCATCAACCAAAAACTTGGGAGCGGCTTGATGAGCTTCGACGTCAGCGTCGTCCAAAGCGTTTGTGGTGGAGCCTTCCGTGCACACATTGGTGCCCATGGTCTTCTCTCAACTACTCCACACCTGAGCAGAAGGAGTTGCTTGAGTCATACCGCAGAAAAGACCGAAAGCTTCTTTGGCGTGCACATGGTTTCATCAAAAGAGCGATTGAGGATGACCCCGAGATCACAGTGTTTTGGGAATGGCCTCATCCTTGTTTTGGATGGAACCAAGAACCTATGCTGGCGATTGAACGCCTTCTTCAACAACATGGTCATGAATGGCTGGACTGTCGCATTGATGGCTGTCGCTATCACATGCGCGATGCACATGGTGATTTCCTCAAAAAGAAGTGGAAGATCAAAACAACTGATGAGCTTTTTCACAGTCAGTTTCGTGCAAAGGTGTGTGTTGGCTCTCATTGTCATGGACGAATTGAAGGTCAAGAAACTGCCAAATCGGCATACTATCCATGGCAAATGGTTCAGTCGATAGCCCGTTTTTGGGCTAAGCAAGAGGTCTCCAATCAGCAACTTCGGCGCATGGACTATAACGACGTTGCTGAGATTGACTTCCCCGATGGAGATCTATGTCCTGCTGATGTTGTCATTGACCTTGACGACGATGCTGCTGAACCACCACAACCGAGCTCTTCTACACCTTCACCAACTGATGCTGAGAAGGAACGATGGAAGGTGAAACTTCTGCAGTTTCACAAAGCTGCTGGTCACTGTTCTGGCCGAAACCTTGCCAGGATTGTGCGTGATGCCAAGATGGAACCTTGGAAGGTGAAAATGGCAATGGACTTTAAATGCCCCACCTGCGATGGACTTCGACCAGGTGGCATGTCAAGTGGCAACATTCCTCCTGCTGCCACTCACGCACAGTTTGGACCTTGGGAAGCTGTTGGACTTGATGTGGCTGAATGGTATGTTCCCATGCGGTCCACCAAGCAGAAGTTCCTCCTCATCATCGACATGTGCACACGACTGCGTGCAGTTTGTCCTTTGTTTGACTCCTATGACATCACGGTCATGAAGACTGAGAATGCCGAGCAGGTCATTGAGGGTCTCTCTAGAAGTTGGCTGGCTGTTTATCCAAAGCCTCACATTGTCGTTGCCGACAATGCCAAGTCCTTTACCTCAGTGCGTTTTGGCGAGTTTTGCCGTGAAGCTGGAATGGAATTGAGCTTCCCGGCTGAAAAAGAAGCCTGGGCGCATGGTTTGGTTGAGCATGCCATCAAGGACTTGAAGTTCACGGCCAGTGCAATTCAGACAGATGCACCTGAACAAGATCCTCACATATCCCTGATCTTGGCAGCCTCAGCTCTCAACTCTACTGAGTATGTCTCTGGCTTCTCAAGCCATCAATGGGCATTTGGCAGAGACCACATGATATCAGATGAGGACAGGCGCAACTTGGCGCAACTTGGTGACCGAGCCACCTTTTCTCACCTTGTGCTGGCTCGACAACGTGCTGAAGAAGTTGCCACCAAGACCCGTGCAAATCGAGTTTTGGGTCGTCTTGCAAACAGCAAGGCACGGCAGCCCTTGCGCAACTATGATGTTGGCGCTCTTGTGAAGATTTGGCGTCGTGTTCTTCCACAAGAAGTTCACACTGGACCTCGAGGAGGATTCAAAAAGGCCTCTCGACCTGGATGGGTCGGACCTGGCCGAGTCATCTTCACAGAACTTCTTCCTCATCAAGATTTGGACGATGAGCGTCGTCACATCGTTTGGGTTTTGATTGGCGGCAAACTTCTACGTTGCTCAGCTCACTCTGTCAGACCGGTCACACCGACAGAGAAGTTGCACTACGAGCTCAACAAGCGCGAGGATGTCACCAAGTGGAAGACTTTGACCGACATCATCCCTGAGAGAGAGTTCACCGACATCTCTGATGAGATACCAACACGTGATCAACTTGAAGAACCTCTCCTACCACCTCTACCTGATGGAACGACAGTTGTTCCTAGTCAACGAGTCTATGGCAAGAAATCTGTGCCACCTGAGGATTGGAGGCAGATCCATCGATCTACCCCCCTTGGACTTCGTGGGCAAAGCTCTTCGACTTATGGTCCTGGACTTGACCGAGCCCCTGGATTTTTGGCTCCGAGCTCTCCTCCACCTCAGAATTCTGGCCCTTCTTTGTCATCGAGGCCTGCTGCCTCAGCTCCGCGACCAGGTGCTGCAATTGACTTAGATGAGGATGATGCGGTGAATGACTATGGTTTTGATGATGGTGCTCGAGATGCTCCTCCTGTACCTCATCCAGATGAGACGGAAGCCAAACGTCTCAAAGCCACAACCTATGACTTGAAATGGGTTGAGCAACTTCAAGCCGATGCCAACATTGAGGCCAACGAGATGAACATCTTTTCAGCTCTTCAACAATGTGATGATGACGTCATCGAGATTTGCTTTGACCTCGAGCTCAACACCACTCGACAGCGAAAGGCCTTGGAAAGGCATCCTGTTTTGTTCCTCACCAAAAAGCTCAATGGAGCTGAAGTGAACATCCACCGCCTTACTGACTACGAGAAGTCGCTGTTCGAGCGTGCCAAGACCAAGGAGGTGACGTCATTCCTCAAGAATGAAGCTGTTCGCAAATGCCTCAATGATGGTGAAGTTCGACGTGCCTATGATTCCAACCGAATCATCAAGGCGCGATGGGTTTTGACATGGAAAAGTACACCCCCTGATGAACTTGAAGAAGCTCAACATGAAGCCCAACATGATCCTTCAACGGTCCTCACAAAAGATGGCAGCCGCAAAGCAAAGGCACGAATTGTGCTTCTTGGTTTTCAACACCCCAGTCTTTTAGACAGATCCTTCAAGACTTCAGCCCCAGTCCAATCTATGATTGGTCGCAACCTCATCTACCTCCTCTCCGTGCAGGAGCAGTGGGAGATTCATGGCTTGGATCTTGCGACAGCATTTTTGCAGACGCAACCCACTGAGGCAGATGCTGAGATTTGGACTACTGGTGTTGCTGAACTTCGAGCTGCTTTGGGCATCTCTGAAGGTGGATTGATGAGGGTGTTGCGCAACATCTATGGGTCAACAACAGCCCCCAGGGGACTTTGGTTGGATCTCCACAAAACTTTAGTTTCTTTGGGCGCTACGCCTATTTTGGGCGAGAGATGTTTATGGGCCTGGTTTTCCAAGACTGAGCTTGATGCCACCGGCCGTTTTCCTCGCCTACTTGGTGTGATGGGTGGCCATGTGGATGATTTCCACTGTTGCGGCAACTTTCAGTCTGAGGAGTGGCAGAAGATCTACAACCAGATTCTTTCAGCCTACAAATGGGGCACAGCAAAACGTGGCAACTACCGCCATGCTGGCACTGACCTTAAGACAGTTTTCGACAAGGCCTCCAACAAGTTCAAGCTGGTGATTGACCAAGATGCCTATGTCGAGTCAGTGGCAGATGTTGCCATACCTCCTGAACGCCTCCATCAAAATGGCCCTCTTCAGAAGCATGAAACTGCAGCTTGTCGCACAGCTCTTGGAGCACTCCAATGGCTGGCCATCCAGACACAGCCACAGTTGTGTGCGAGATGCAATTTGCTTTTGACCGAGGTTGTCACCAACGGTACTTTGGAGACAGCGCGGGAGATACAGCAGATGATTGCCGAAGTGCGCTCAGAGCCTTTCAGTTTGGAATTTTTCAAGCTCCCCAAGGCGACCAATTGGAATGACGTAGTTTTCATTTCAATGGGTGATCAGTCTCACTCCAACAGACCTCAAGGCGACTCAACTGGTGGACTTTTAACCTTAGCTGCTGGACCAGATGCCATTTCAGGCAAGGTCACTCCAATGACTTTGATTTCATGGCGTACGTGGAAGCTGAAGAGAAAAGCCATTGGCAGCAACGATGCTGAGGTGCAGTCAATCCTCGAGGCCGAGGACCAGAACTTTCGAGTTCGCATGCTATGGAGCGAGCTACATGGAGCTGGTTTCCAACGACCTGACCGACGTGCCGATCTGGTAGCTTCAGCTGAAGATCAAGCTTGCCTTGTCACCGGAATCCTTTGCACAGATTCCCGAGGTGGCTACGATGCCGTAGAGGTGAATGAATCACCGCTTCTTGGCCTCTCCAACATGAGAGCGGCATTGCAAGCGTTCCAGCTCAGAGACAGTTTGAAGAGAGTTGGATGTGAACTTCGATGGCTGGCTTCTGACTATGATCTCGCCGACGCCTTCACCAAAAAGCGTGGCGATAGCAGAATTGGACTTTTGAAGTATCTGCGAAGCCGTTGCTGGAGCATAGCATATGATCCAAACTTCACTGCTGCGAAACGCAACAAGAAAGTTGGCAAAACTGCAATTCAGAAAGTAGATGATGCTTTGGGTGATTTTTCGCCGCCTTTGTCATCACATGGTGCTTTTGAAGATTTTTCTGAACATGCGTTTGCAATCATTGCTCGTGAGCTTCAGCTACACGATCTTCAGCAGGATCTCGCAATCAATGCTGGATCACTTCATGTTCATGCAATCACTGCTGGCTCTCAAACAGGTCAAATTCGAACACCTTGTTTTGGCACCCTGAGCCCTGAGACAGACTGTATAGAAGTAGCTCATGACCTGAAGCCTTTTTGTACTGGTGCAGCAACTGAACCTGTGCCTTCGCCACTGTCAGGTCATGAGAAGATTTGGTCGCACCAACGCGACATGACGGCTCAGGGGCCCCTTGTTTTAGGCGCCACATGTGCCATGCAGGCTGCAGCTTAGACCTTGGTGGTCTTGGAAAAATCCCAGCGCGCTGTGCGCTTTGTGCCTTCATCCATCCTACATCATTTCCTTCGTCTATTGCCTCTTGTTTGAATATTGGTTGGTGGATTTGGGTGTGAGCCCTGCTGTTTAAACCCCTGCGCTGCCCGCTACAGAATGTCATCATCCCAACTAACGAACTCATACTATTTTTCAGAGGGGTTAGCAGCAACCACCAGATATGTATGTTGTATAGATGCCCATTTTTAAGTATGTTTCTTTTCTCAAAAACCACACTTTTGATGAGTTAAATCCTGCATTGGTCCATTGGTGGCTTGGGGCCAGTCATCCCGGCCGTTGAGGAACAAGGCAGAACGAAGCAGTTCAAAGTCGACTGCTGCCAGTAGCGCCGAGCTCTTGCCACTGGGACGTTTTTTATGGTTTTTTGGTGCTTTCCATATGGGGGTGGGTCAAAACCTATTATTATCAATTCTAATGGGATGAACATCCATAAATCCCAGCTATTTTGGGGTTCACTAGGTGCCAGGGTTTTGACCAATATTGCTAAATACAAGGTTTGTTGGAATCCCAGTGTTTGTTGGTTTATCTTCACCCAATGAACTACAGATATAAAGCCACATAAATCCTTCTTAGCCTATTTATAAACCACTATAACTAACCAACTGGGGCACCGCTGTATATATCGTCATATTAGGTTCGCCATCTGAAGTTTGTAACCCCCGATGTTTGTGTGTATGTGTGCACATAATTGCATATATATATATATGTATGTCTACCTCTCTCCCTCTCTGTCTATATAGATCCGATGTAAACATTCTGAATACAATATTTCACGATATACCACGTAATTTTTATTCATAGTGTGCTACACAGTCATGTATATATAGACAATATGCATGGGAAAATGGCTTTCTCGGAAAGTGGGGTATACCTCAAATACCAAGCTTGACAAGGACAATTATGACTACTCAATGCATGGAATGAGGGACCCCATCTTCAGTCATTTCGTCCATGTGCCATGGTCAACTTGGATCATATACCCATATTGGGTGATGGTCATCAATCCATCACTAGAGATTCATATAGACATTAGGTTGGCATGGGATGGAGGACCATTCTCCATATTATACCCCCTATGTTTGGTTGCATATCCCATTGTATCCGTTGTATCCCTATTGTTGTTAGTTTTATACCATGCATTGCCACATATTCCCATGTGATTAGTCTGGGGTTACTATTCATTAACCAACCTTGATTGATTAAGAAACCCTGTTTTGATAGATCTTAGAGGTTATACATGGGTTTGATTTTGGGTGTTATGTGTGTAGAACTATGTTTATCCTCATCATTTCCATGTTGGTTATATCTCATGGTATCTTCTTCTTCTTCTCTGATCAAATCATTTTTCCGCGGTAAGATATGTGTATAGGAAACACATATACAACCCGGTAGTAATTTAACATAGATATGGAACATCACCATGTTAAATAGGTAGAGAGACAATCTACAAATGGGCCACCTAGTGAACTATGATCAGTATTAGATGAGTTTTCACTAATCGACCTTGGTTGATTGATTCATACACCCTGATTGATTAATAAACACCTGCTGATAGAACGGTTGATAGAACTTTAAGGTTACGGTGCATATGGCTTTGATATGGGGTATAGTGTGCATGGACAAGCGCACTTGTTTTCATCATATCCATACATTCCACTCCCCCCGCCATTTCAACTCAGCTATTTTCAGATGAGTGAATTATGAAAAATTCAGCCAGATTTATTAATCACTATTAACATTTGTTATATAACCATATTTGACAATTATAGAACCATTAGTAACCATTAGAAACCATTATCAATCACTATTAACCACTATAAACCATTATTAACTGGTTGGTGGTTTGGAACATGTTTTATGACTTTCCATATGTTGGCAATGTCATCATCCCAACTGACGAACTCATATTTTTCAGAGAGGTAGGTCAACCACCAACCAATATATATATATATATATACACACTATTAGTGATGATGTCAATACCACCCCATTTTTGATGGTCGATACCACCCATAAACATGGTGATTTTGGGGATGGTTTATGATTGTTTTAACCATTATTAGTTTATATATATATAGCAGTGATGATATCACTAGTAGATAATCAACAATCGGATATTACTTTTTTTTTGTTATTTTCACTCCTCCAAGAGTATGAGTGAATAACCATATTACAATCTAATATTTTTTTTAATGGTTAACAAAATTAACGATAAAACCATGATGATGATGATGATGATTGTTTTAACCATTATTAACCATTATTAACCATTAACCATTGTTAACCATCATTAATTCCGCCAGAAATTTCCAGTTGGATCATTCCGAGGTATCCACTGTCCTCCTTAGCATCCGCCACGGCCGGTAACGCGCGTGAGGGCTTCCAAACCCTTAGCACGTTGGCCCCTCGGCGCCAAAAATGGAGGGGATGTTTTCGTGGTGCTTTTGTTCACGGGATGGAGGTGGATCCTTCATGGGTTGAAGAATGTGGTTACCCTCTGGTAAACATACAAAAAACTATGGAAAATCACCATTTTCAATGGGAAAATCAACTATAAATGGCCATGTTCAATAGCTATGTTAAATTACCAGAGGGTAAAACCATGGAAAATACACCAGCCATTTTCCTGGGAATGGTTTCTAGGTAAATAACACACCACCTATAAGAATAAGAAAAACACTGGGGGATGGTTAGTTTATGGCATTGTTTTACCCACAAAAATCCACAAAACATTGGGATTCCACAGGGTGATTTCATGATGATTCATATGCTATGAATGGCCCAGCGAGTTCGATGTTTTACACATGCAATTTGTGACGTTTTTCCAAAGCAAACGCTTAAAGTGCCATAGGATTGTGGCAAATGAGGGGGTTTAACAGGAAAACTCACCATCAAACATAGGGATTGTATAGAATTTTCCCTCACATTTGGAGGTATTCACCTGCCATGGTGGCGATAATAGTGTTATATAATGGGATATAATGGAGATATATATTGGGAGAACATAGGATATAATGGGATGTAGGGAAACCCAATTTCTCCCCTTTTTGAAGGATTTACATCAACCATGGGGATCTGATTTCATTGGAGAGAATGAAGAAGTGGGGATAGAATCGGAAAGATATGATATCCGGGTGTGTCTGACAATGGGATATATACCCAAACAATTATTCTGGCTGGTGGTTTCAAACATTTTTTGTTTTCCATAATACATGGGATAATCCTTCCCATTGACTAATATTTTTCCGAGGGGGTGAAACCACCAACCAGTATTGATTGTTCGAGGGACTTGGTGATGGACCAGTGGATAGACTGACATGATTTTCAGACTTCAGAAATGGCGTGATCTCATCCACAAATGGCCTATAATCAGGCAAATAACCCTACAAATCGTGATATAACATATGTAACCATATTTGACAATTATAGAACCATTAGTAACCATTAGAAACCATGATCAATCACTATTAACCACTATAAACCATTATTAACTGGTTGGTGGTTTGGAACATGTGTTTTATGACTTTCCATATATTGGGAATGTCATCATCCCAACTGACTTTCACTCCATGATTTTTCAGAGGGGTTAGCAGCAACCACCAAAACCAGATATGTATGTTGTATAGATGCCAATTTTTAAGTATGTTTCTTTTCTCAAAAACCACAAAAAACCACACTTTTGATGAGTTAAATCCTGCATTGGTCCATGGTCCATTGGTGTCATAACCCATGAACTGATGTAACTGCCCCACGACTTCACCGTGATTGAGGCTGTGCCGGAGACCGGTCTAGATGCGCAGAAGAGCGTCGTGACTGGGCTGGTTGGCGGATCAAATCAGTTGGTCAAAGAGATGGGGAGACCATGGGAGACCTTCCAATGGTTTTTCAACATATCATTTCCAAGATAAAAACGGATGACTTTTTTAGGACATATTTTTGTGGTAGCATCTAATAATCTATATAATTAAACCTGGTTGCGGTGAAATTCACCATTTTTGTCAGCTGATTAGTGTACCCTCTGGTGAACTAACAGTTTGCTATTGAAAATGGCCATAGAAATAGTGGATTTTCCCATTAAAAATGGTGATTTTCCATTGCTATGTTAGTTCACCAAGAAGGGTAGATATGTCCCATATGTTTTTGTGGCTGATGATCCAGCCATGTCTGACCCTAGCGAGTTTCTGAAGTGGGCCCAGGAAGTTCGGATCCGAAATCCCTTTTCGAGGTGACCTTGGTCATAGCTTGGTCATAGCTACGTCATGTGGGATGACCGCAGGATCAATGGTCATGACTCAGGAACCGATTTATTGGAGGTACCTACATGTGCCGATTCCATATATAAGGCCTAAAATTCAGGCCTATGTTTCAGGGAATATCCCCACAAAAGATGGCCTTACATGGTACAGTACCTCCATTTTAGGATCCTGAAATTACCATTGACAAGAGTTGTGGACTTACTCGCCAGCGTTATTGGCAGCTAGCAGCAAGTTAGTAATCATCATGATTGGCTTATACCGTCAGATTTGGTAGGCTATAAATGAAGTTTATAGCGTTTTTTTTTTGCAAAGCAAGATTTACTATCCTCCCCAAAAAGGCTACAAACATCATGTAGTCGTACAGTATAGAACCGTTTTTGAATTATGTTTTCAATTGTGTACACGGTTGGTTATATCCCGATCATTCCGGGCAGCCTGCAGCAAATTCACCTATTTTCTACATTGTTTTCCCCAACCTGTTCCACAACTATCCTCCCCAAAAAGATCCGCAGCAAGTCATTGTTCGGCTCAATTTTCCGAGTTTCCCCAGATTTTTCTCATTTTCCAGGCAGTTTCCCCAGTTCATTTTCAGGGCAGTTTCCCCAGATTTTTCTCATTTTCCAGGCAGTTTCCCCAGTTCATTTTCAGGGCAGTTTCCCCAGATTTTTCTCATTTTCCGGGCAGTTTCCCCAGATTTTTCTCATTTTCCGGCAGTTTCCCCAGTTCATTTTCAGGGCAGTTTCCCCAGATTTTTCTCATTTTTCGGGCAGTTTCCCCAGATTTTTCTCATTTTCCGGCAGTTTCCCCAGTTCATTTTCAGGGCAGTTTCCCCAGATTTTTCTCATTTTCCGGGCAGTTTCCCCAGATTTTTCTCATTTTCCGGGTTTCCCCAGTTCATTTTCAGGGCAGTTTCCCCAGATTTTTCTCATTTTCCGGGCAGTTTCCCCAGTTCATTTTCAGGGCAGTTTCCCCAGATTTTTCTCATTTTCCGGGCAGTTTCCCCAGATTTTTCTCATTTTCCGGGCAGTTTCCCCAGATTTTTCTCATTTTCCGGGCAGTTTCCCCAGTTCATTTTCAGGGCAGTTTCCCCAGATTTTTCTCATTTTCCGGGCAGTTTCCCCAGATTTTTCTCATTTTCCGGGCAGTTTCCCCAGTTCATTTTCAGGGCAGTTTCCCCAGATTTTTCTCAGTTTCCCCAGATTTTTATCATTTTCCGGGCAGTTTCCCCAGATTTTTCTCATTTTCCGGGCAGTTTCCCCAGTTCATTTTCAGGGCAGTTTCCCCAGATTTTTCTCATTTTCCGGGCAGTTTCCCCAGATTTTTCTCATTTTCCGGGCAGTTTCCCCAGATTTTTCTCATTTTCCGGGCAGTTTCCCCAGAAGTTTCTAATTTTCCGGGCAGTTTCCTCAGATTTTTCCAATTTTCCGGGCAGTTTCCCCAGATTTTTCCAATTTTCTCGGCAGTTTCCCCATGGCGACGCGCGCCCCGTGCAGGTCACCCTGGCGTGGCTCATCTCGCCCAGCGAGGAGCTCACGGCGCCCAAGGTGCAGCCCGTGCGGCGCCGCAAGGCGCGGAGACCCATCACTAGAACATTATTGTATTTAATGGCAGTGTGTCAAAACCTTTCACCCCTGGTGAACATCAAAATAGCTGGTAAATGGATGTTCATCCCCCTAAAAATGGTATAAATAGGTATTGATCCATATACCCTCTGGTAAACTAACATAACTATGGAAAATCACAATTTTTAATGGGAAAACTCACTATAAATTGCCATTTTTGATAGCTATGTTAAATTACCAGAGGGTATACCCTCTGGTTATTTAACATAGCAATGGAAAATCCCTTATAAATGGAGGTTTATAGCTGGGAAAATCATCTATAAATGGGCCATTTTCCATGGCTATGTTAAATAACCAGAGGGTATATATATATATACATATATATATATATGTATGTAAATATATATCTATATATAAATATCACATTGATTATAATGTATCATGTAGTTGTAACCTAATGTACATAGAATATAAGATATTGTAGATTGTATATTGTATATTAATTAGTGATACTATGATATATACATTAGTGATAATTAGATGATATCAATGGTATGATGTATAATATAGACATTTCATGGTGTATAATTGTGTATATATATATATATAGATATATCTGGGTAAATTATAACGACCTCACTGCGACCTCACTGCAATCATGGTTAGTAAGGGGCTCATCCCAAAATGGCCTTATTTCAGGTTATAGCAGGACGTGGGCATCCTGCACACCGTTGGCCGGGCAGTGGCAAGGTTGTTTGTTGTCGGCAGCTGGGAGTTGGGTGGGTGCGCTAATGTGGCCATTGGGCTTCCGGTGCGGGGAGATGTTACCTAGCATCCGCCTGTGGATTGACCTTATCCCTGACTTGTGTTTCGTTCAATGGCCTTTGCCCACTGTCGAATGGTTGCACTGTACCAGTTGGTGCAGCATGAAACACTAGTATTTCGCAAGAGCATCAGCACGGGGCAAAGATGGCACACTTTGCACGCAGTTGTGACAAACGCTTCCATGGATCTGCAACAGAAGAGCTTGATTTGCACTGATGGAAACATTGAACCTTTTGATATCATGGCACCTGTTTCTGTTCAAGAATGTGTGGGATGGATCACGGCAAGAAAAAGAAAATTCTTTTCAGATCACCTTCCACACCATGCCTCCAGATATGCCTGCAACCACCAGGGATCACCAAAGAACACACAATGTCGAACCCAATGAAATTGCTGGACTTTTGACACTGTATTGGGCACCTTTCTGGCAAAACAAGCATGAAATTGACCAAGCGGATGGTTGGGAAGAATTCCAACAACTCTTGACTTACTTCCAATACCACCCTATGTATGTCTTTTCATGCGATGATTCCACAGATGCATGGATGTCAGTCGTTGCTAAACTTAACCCCAAAACTGGAAAGGGAATTGATGCAGTCTCAGCTCAGGAATTGAAACTCCTTCCAAGGGAAGCCATCGCCTGTCTCCTTGATGTTTGCAATCTGCATCCGAACGGTTTTCCAGAGCGGCTTATGATTGCAAAGGTTTGCCCCCTCAATAAGACTTAGGGTCAGGTGCCACTGCCTTCACAAAGCAGGCCAATCTGCATCCTGAGCCAGATTTACCAACTCTTTGCTTCAGTTTGGTGTACCCAAGCCTTGAGATACATGTCAACGTGGTTTCCAGCACAAATAACAGGTATGCTTCCCGGCCGTGGAAGTTTGACAGCAGCATGCAGTGTACAGGCGATCATCGAACAATGTCGGACCAAAGGCGCTCCTCGAACGGGTCTTGCCCGTGAATCTTTTTGGCCCAATTTTTTCATGCTGTGGCTTTCCGGAAGGAGATGCTACTAGTGTTCTGGTTATGTTGGCCATTGCCCCTTTATGGACCAGTGCTATGAACCATCAACAGCTAGATGACATTTGCCTCCAAGCGTGTGCTGACAATTGGGGCTGGCACACCGGCCAATTGCCACTCGCCACACGCTCACTGTAACAGAGCTTTGTGGACTCACAATTGGTTGGCGGAAGACCTGGCTGTGGGGTACCACAACATCCACCGCAGAAACCGCCAAGACTGCTATTCTTGAGGAGGTTCAAGGTACGGAGGTGCAAAGACTCCAACACAGCAGAGATCCGGGACTTGAGCTGCAATACTCAGGAACACACAGGCTTGGACATAGACAGCAAAGACATGACAAGGGTATCAAACGACTGCAAAAGCTCATGGCGCAACCTTTTGAGCTCACAGTGAAGGAACACATTATACATACCAGCATTTTCCCTGCAACTTTTTATGGTGCCGAGATCTGCCCAGTTTCAGAAGAACTTTTGACAAAGATCCGCAGCCTCACTGCGGATGCTTTGCTTGGCAAATCAAGAAGTATGTCTCCGGGAATTGCTCTGCTCTTGACAAAGCATGAAGTGCTTGACCCGACATTTTTTGTCATGTGCCAGGCGTTCCGTACGGCAATGGGTTGGTATTGAAGTTCAGCGTTCATTTTTTGCCACTGCAGCACATTTTCGATGAAGAGGTGGCTGACAGCAATGTGGGTGCCGCCAATCTCATCTACATGCATTGGCAAAGACTTTGGGAAAATCAGATTGCTCTTGATCCTGTTGCAACCGTGACTGCCATGACAAACAGTTTTGGCGACCTGCAGCAACAACTACAATTGGATTGGCAACCACCAGATCTCAGAACCTTTTCTCAAGCTCTATGGGATGCAAATGGTGCAGCTGGATGCGATTCCTGTTCTAGCTAGCCAAGAGACCAAACACATGCCGCTTGATGCAGTTCGTCATCTACACAAGCTCACCTTGCGCTAGTACACCGCTAAGAAAGTACCAAAACAAATGACATACCGTCGCCAAGTCACCGTACCGTAACTCACAAAGTCGCTGAAGGCATGCCACAAGCAGAACAGACAAGACCCATCACTGTATTATCAATCTACTGGAGGGCCTGGGCGTCAGGGTGGACAAGAACAACAGCCATGCAACAATTTTCAGCTCACTTGCCAGAAGAAATCGCAGGTGTTCGTGGGCATGCAGGATGTGAAGAAGCCACGACATTTTTGCAACATCAGTTCACAACCCGCAAAGGTGTAATCATCACATTGGACTACAGTCAATGTTATGACAGACTGCAGGTTGCCGTAGCCACGCTTTTTCTCCAACAGCTGGGATGGCCTGAGGCCTTAGTGGCCCAACTACTGCAAGTTTGGTCAACTACACGGTTTTTAGAATTTAATCACCGCGTGCACCCGGAAACTTTGCAAGGTCGAGGCATACCCCAAGGTTGTCCGATTGCGCCGATTTGCCTATCTTCGGTGATGACATGTGGGTTTCGAGCAGTTGAAGCTTTGATGATCAACAATTTCGGATACACCATCCCTGAAAGCAAGGCTGCTGACACTCGTATCTACATGGATGATCGCACATTCGTAGATTCAGACCTTCACCGAGCCTTGGACCGTGTCATGGCATGGACAACTTGGAGCTCGTCAGATCTCGTCAGTAGGGCTGCTTGAAAATGAGAACAAAATTCAGGCGCTTGCACAAACCAAAGCACTTCAAAGCCAATTACAAGCCCTTCAACCAGTTTGGACGCAGGACAAAACTTTGTCAGCTCTTGGTGTCAGCATTCGTGCAGGCCCCGTTGCCAATACAGCCTTGGAAGAAATAAGGGTACAGGCCGCCACGCAGCGTGCCAAGCTGTTGGCCTGCCTGCCGCTGTCCTATAGGCACAAAATGGAGCTCTACCGGATCTTCGTCCCCCCCAAAGCCACATCCGGCTGGATCCACAGGTTCCCTCCGGAAGCAACTGCGAATCGCTTGTTCAATGCTCTTACCAAGATGAACAACACCAACAAGATGGCCAATCCTTGTATTCGTGCAACTCTTTATGGTGGCAACAGCCATTGCCACCCGGTGATCGGCCTGCGAATGTTCAAGAGATTGGCAAGAATGCGAAGTTCCCTGCCCTTGTCAGCTCAGGCTGGCTCTCCAGTGACAGCCCTGAGAGGCTGGATGAAGAAACTTGGATGGCAAGAAGTTTCTCCCTGGAAATGGAAATGGTACAACAATGTAGTCGTGGAAGCAGGACCTTCGACGGGACAGGAAGCAATGCATCACCTGCGTCACAGCTGGCGAATGCACCTGCTGAACAAGTTCTCCAAATCTAAAAGACATGAAGCTGCGGAGTGGCGCATAGTCACAACACATGCACAGATGCGTGCAAACCTGGAAGAAGTTGATCTTGCCGCTGCGCGCAGGCACTTTGATCGAGCTAATCCCAGTACGCGTGCAGTGCTCCTTGGCTCAGTGGTGAGTCCTGCCTGGTATGGCAGATCTACACAAGGGAGCACACAATGTCCATACTGCAGAGGTGTGGGAACTTGGATGCATTTGGCATGGAATTGCAGAAATGTTCCTGGTGCTGCAGTGAGAAGACCTCGGCAAGATCCTAAGAACTGGTTGACCAAGCGTTTTGGTTGGCCTACAACATCAGATTCACATACTGCTGTTACTAAACGGCTGCAAAGTGGTTGAGTTGATCTGGCTGGTGCGACACGACTAGTGTCGCGTGGATGGTTGCAGTTCGCTAACTACTACAAGGGCGACTGCAGCTGCACTTCCAAATGGTAGTTGCAGCGCATTTTCGGGGTGGTATTCATGCGGTTAAGGGTCCAGCGTGCACTCTGAAATATGATGCCAACCTTTTGTCATGGCAGATTGGCTCCCATGGAAATGTCACAGTAGATACCTTCGTCAGTGAACTTGGTCACAGATTCTTTTCAAAGAATGAACTATTTTCTGACCATTGCATGGCAGCAAAAACTGATTATGCTTCTCACGAACAGACTCAGCCTTTTTCACTTGCCAGATGTGTCCCGCAGTGCTACTTGCTCAGTTTTGTCCACGTTTTGTGATAAAGACCGGGTACTTTTGATAAGGGAAATGCCAGGCGCATTCCAGTATGAAACACAAAAGGCCCATTGGGCCCAAAATGCATCCGGAAAGTGCAGTTACTGTCAAGAACAAGATGGCAGCATCCACAGACTCCTGCACTGTCCTGCATTCCATGAAACAAGCCAGCCATATTTGCATGTGCTCCAATCCATGCAAGAAACAGACCATCAACAGAGCTCAACGCCATGATTTGTGCGGCAACGATTCCCTTTGGTTTCATTCACTCTGATAGTAGATATGCCATTTCCAAGAGCCATGTCCACTTGCTTGAATCGTCTAATTTTGGGGGGTTAAACAATGCAAGGCTTTTGGCTGAACTTGCATCCGTACACTTGGACCCACGAAGGGTGCGGAAAATCAAGGCTCATCAAGATCCACATTCTCTGCGCGACTCTCTAGAAATCTATCATGCTTTGGGTAACATCATGGCAGGCCAGGCGGCTAAAACTGCATGCAGGGAACTCAATCCTGCATGGAAGAGTGAATTAAATACATGCCACACACACAAATTGCTCATGAGCGAGAAGTGCTACATGGTGATTTACAACTTTACGTTGATTTGGCCCGTGCTCGAAAACAAGACTGTTGGGGGTCCTGAGGTGACCCCAGTAATTGAACTGCTGAAACAATGGACACCCGAGGACATTCAACATCTGTCCTTTCCAGCTTCTATTGGGGAATGGCAGGCAGATTTTTCCTGGGGACCTTGGTTGGCACAACATGTGTTTCAAGTCATGCAGCAAGTTAAACGGCCCACAGAGCCACAGGGCCCACTTAGGGCAGAAGTCGGTGTTTCATGGTTGGAGCTAGCAATCGCCTTTTCACTTGCCATTAAGCGTGCGTTGCCTATTTTGCGTGAATATGGGGTTATGCAGCTCATCATGATCGAAGATTCTGCTGATTAAAATGACCAAACTGCCACTATGCAGAAGATGTGGAGTCAAATGATGGGCCGGCTTCCCCCTGAAGCAGCCCCACAGTGTAAACGCGGTCTCAACATGGCGCTATGTTCTTTTGGATTCCTTCAATCAACTTCTGGACTGTCACCTAGACCTAACTTTCCGCTACAACAAAGAACTCTGGATTACTTGCATGACAAAATCAAGGATTAGCAAAGCGTTGCCATTCCCTTTTCACCGGACCGGACCAGTGTAGGATCTTCAGAACTTCGAATGATTAACTGGAAAAGGACATATGACCAACTGAAGGTCAATCGAAGAAGAGGTAAAGGTGGTTGACCTGCAAAGCAGGCCTGTGCACGCAGTTTTGTTCCTCCATTCCAGTCGAGAGTGGAAACTCGTTGCGGATCTGAGCTCATGCTTCGCACTCGTGCCGGGCATGGGCTCCCTCTCTTAGGAAAGCGGCCTTATTTCAGGATAGTGAATTATTATAATTTACCCAGATAGTATTTAATTTATATATATATAATATACATATTATTAGTGATGATACCAATACCACCCCATTTTTGATGGTCTATACCACCCATAAACATGGTGATTTGGGGGATGATTTATTATTGTTTTACCACCATTAATATATATAGTGATGATATCACTAGTATATAAACAACAATCTAATATCATTTTTTGTTAATTTCAACCATCCAAGAGTATGAGTGATGATGATTAACTATCTGATTATGTTAATTATGTTAATCATAGTTGTGACTTATTAGTTGGTGATTCGATGGTGATAAATGGTGATAATAACTCTAAGACTCTAATCAACAATTATTCTAGTCATCGTACTTGCAGTATTTGTTTTTTGGTGATGATATCACAAATAGTATGTACTGTAATCAACAATATAAAATCTCATTATCCTAATAATAGTTGTTAATTATTAGTTGGTAACTATTAGTTAACAGGATTGCTAGATTAAACTGTTATCTAGCTATGTTGATGTTGATTAATCAAGAACTAGTAATGGTTCCCAAGAACCAACCAGCTATTAACTAGTGAATATTTTTGATCAACAATCTTGGTGTTGAAACATATCCATGGAACATTGGAACATCACAATCTAATGCGAGACTCTGCTAGACCCATTGGAACCATAGGAAGTTGATGGGGATGATCTAATTTCAATTTTGACATGGAGATACTCACTTGTTAGTTGATTATGGCGATTATGGATAAGCTATTCTCAGCTAATAGATTTAGATGGGGATCTTGATCTAGTCAGGGAACAAACTTAGATGCGGATAATTATCCATATAATCAACACTTTTGTTTGAGAATGTCACACGGAGTTCATCACTTGACTAGAAAAACATGGTACATATTTAGGTTGGGATTTAGATGGAGGGTTTAGATGGGATTTTATGAGGATTAGCTTTGGTTGTAGGAATATATCATTGGGATATATTCAACAAAAAAGGGAATCTAATTGGATTTATACAATTGGGATTCAATAGGGTTTTTTATGGGATCCGGATGGTGTTTAACCGATCTTGTGTGATATTTCCTGGTTATCATGTGGGATATACTGGGGATATCACGTGGTAAAATGTGAAACAGTTGTGATGCCCTGGCGATGGCCATGAAAATTGTGGGTGGCATAGTATTGAACAAACATATTACCCGGCGTGGTTATGACTAACATAGCTATGGTATAGATGGCCCATGAAAAATAGTTGGTTTACCGAACTTAAAAATGGTTATTTTCCATGGCTATGTTAAATAACCAGATGGTAAGTGGGATTCGTGGTGGTCTATCAATCTAAGCTGAAAAACACAACAAAGATCCAAGTGTACGGCCATCATCCATCCAGCTATTGAACGGTACAGGTCCCCCAGTAGATGCCCAACAGTGTTTCCAGGATGTTGCCGATACCAGCTGTGGGGTAGGTGTGTGTCAAGAACGACCATGGGAAGGGTGTTAAGACTCTTGGGAACCCTGAAAATGCACCTGGTGTTAAGTTCTTGGCTTCCATGAGTGACACTTCGGAATCAAACATTTTATCAGAATCAATCCAATCTATGTCTTTAAAGTAGATTTAGGTTGTAGGTTTCTCCACATTGAATTTTTCCTGTTTGGGTTGTACTCAAATCCCTTACTATTTGGTGCCGGCCGAGCCGCGACCGTCGGAGCGTCGACCAAGGCTTGGTTGCTGCACCAGAGCGGCCGTAAAGACGGCTACTACCTGCAACACGTGCCCGAAGACGTTGCTGGTTGATGGTGTGTGGGCAAAAGAGCCTTTGGATGTTGGGGATCACTATCAGATACAATCCCCAAAAGGATGCCGGATAGTAAAATCCTACTAAAAAATACTAGTGATGATTTACTTTTCGAAATGTTTTCTTGTGGGTTTGCTATAATATTATGTAATCTTTTGTTGGAACTCCACGTCTTCGAAATACCTTGGGAATGGGACAAGATATGGAACATATTTCAAGCACGTGATTGATGTATCCCTTATGTTCCAAGATATGATCGCGAAATACATTGAACATTCAAATTTGTTTACGTTTGATTGTTCAATTGTTGGATCATGGAATCTCAGTGAGGCTCATCCAACACCGCTCCGAAAAGTCTCAAACCCGAGAATTGCGAGGAAATGCTACCAATATGTATACCGCTGGTTGGTGGTTTGGGACATTCTTTATTTTTTCATAATATATGGGATGTCATCCTTCCCATTGACGAACTCCATCATTTTTCAAGATGGTTAAAGCATGTTAAAACCACCAACCAGATATGTATGCCGTAAATTCACCTTTTGGAATCTCATTCTTCCGGTCAAAATCATCGGTTTCAACAACTTGGCGCCCGAAGAACTTGGTTCAGCGGCTCAACCTGGATGAACCGAGGCTTATGGAGGCTGTGGGACCTCGATTGAGAAGAAGTGCGAGGAGTATATCAACGAATTTCCCGAGATATTGGAGGATCCTTGGGTTGACAAATGGCAGAAAAACTGGGTTAATTTGAGCTGGATCCTGCAGGATGGGGCCCTCCCAGTGATGTTTGTTGGTTTATAAACCATGAAATAATCCCCATGAATACTAGTTCGTTAGATCTACCATAAACCATAGACTTCAGCCACTTATGTTCACCAACGGTTCACGCGAGCTCGACTGGGGGCCCCATCAAACATGGGATGTTTCTTTCCCATGTTTTGGCCCACCAGAGGTGTCTTCGTAGGATGATGGTTTGTAACCCAGGTCACTTCTGGTGACAGATACTGAGAATGGTGTCTGAAAGAAAGTGGGATTAAGATGACTATATATATATAAATTATATAAGTGATACAAGATGTGATACGGAATTGCGTGGTACAGCTATGGATTTCTGGCACCCTGATCTCCCAGACTTGCATGATCAGAACTGCAGGAAGTCCCAACTATGTTGGTTCTTCCCCCCTGACTCTATCCCATGTTACCAATGTTACCCCCGATTTTCCATGCAATTTTGCATGCAATTTTCCATGATTCTGCAGGTTTCTGACTCCATCCCAGTGGCTATCACCATTTTTTCACAGGATTTTCTGCGAGTTTTTCCCATGTTTTCCATCATTTTCTATATCAATGGCCATTTCAGGAACCTAAATTGGAGGTACCTGCCATATATAAGGTCTAAAATTCAGGCCTATGTTTCAGGGAATATCACCACAAAATATGGCCAAGAATATGGTACGTTTACGTACCTCCATTTTAGGATCCTGAAGATCTCCCATTGGCTATAGGATTCTCCATGGCTTCTGTCGAACATCTCGGCCCCAAGACGCACGTCACGGAGCAGGATCCGCACCTGGCGTTTCCGCACTGCGTCATCCCCCTGCAGCCGCTGGCGTTGAAGATGCCGAGCGCTGGAAAGGCGTTTTTGAGGGTGGGGAATGGGGAAAGTACCTTCAAAATGGATGGTTTATAATGGAAAATCCATGAGAATCCTATTAAAATGGATGATTTGGAGGTACCATCTGGTAAATGACTAACCGTTTGCTATTGAAAATATTGAAAATTGCCAATTAAAGTTGGTTTACCTATTAAATAGCTATGTTAGTTTACCAGAGGGTAGATGTGATCACGGAATAAGAATGGAATGGGATTCAATGCTTATTCACCAAATGATACTCTATCATCCATACAAGTCAAATAATATTGATGGAATGGGATATAGTATCTAAAATTTACATGGGTTAAGGACAATAATTGAGGGAATAGCAATGGAATACCGTGGGATATGAAGGGATTTTCCTTCTGGTGAACCAAAGATGGCAGGCTCGGAAATCGGGAAATCCCCGAACCCAATTGGGTATGTATTGGAATAGGAAAATCATCGGAAGAAGTTTGATTGCCAGAGGGTTTTTTGGATTAAACGATCTGGAAAGGATCGGATTAGCCACGGTTTTTTACAAGAAAAGTCGGAGGTTGACAATCTAACCAGTACACAACTTGTATACCTGGCAACAATGGGGATAAACATGGATCAAATGATATAAGAATCTCAGGTGTATATTTTGCCGTGTAAAAATGGGCACACTACCGTCCACCCCAAATGTTAAGTATCCAGCGGCTAGGAAGGAGCTGCAGCTACAGAGCGGTATCCAGACCCCATATTTTGCGAGGAGGAAAGGAGCTGCTAAGGGGTTCCCAACCACATGATAGTAAATCATTAAAATACACCCAAAACAAAAGCTTGAGTATTGGATTTGTTCATGACTTGGGTGTCCATCTGCGGGGATTGAAAAAATACTCCGAGGATAGGGTTATGGCAAAGGGATGTAAAGGGAATCATCCCCAAATATGGCTTATTCACTTGTTCCAGCTCAGGATTTATTTTATTCTTGTTTTCCCAGGTTGGTGAAGAACCCGCAAGGAATGTCGGGACAACGGAAGTTTTTGAGGATCGACCATGGAAATATCATGGGAATCTTGAGTGGCATCACCTTTAGAATGAGGATGGCTGGCTGCTAAAAATGACCCACTTGATTTGCAGGTTTCAAATGGCTTATTGATCCACTCAAAGACTTGCGCCTCTCGAACAGGTCTTTGTCGCAAAGTGTGCGTGTACGGCCACTCTCGAGTGCCTTGGGTGGTGTGGAGTGGCGTTTTCGGTGCCGTTTTATGCCGTTTTCATTGCTGAACCCGACAAAAAAATAACCCAACAAATCTGAGAGGTAGGTCTTGCCAAGCATGACTTCGCACCAAAAAAACACCTGGACTCACCTGAAGGTACGTAATTTTCTTCTGGTGGGCGGTGCGTGCATTTACAGTACCCTTTCTTAAGGGTTTGGGGCCAGTGAGCAAAGCTCCTTGAAGCAATGATCAGCCAGATGCAGACTATTTTGCCAATATCCCCCGTATTTTCCTTGATCCACACATAGATCCACAGCTTTTCACATCTTTCTAACCACAAAGTTCCCCCATGGCAACGCCTTCGCCGGCGGCTTCCAAACTGCGCTTCCTAGGCAGTTTGTGACGGAGTGGCGACAAGAGCAGAAGGACGAGGAGGAGCTGAAGCTGATCTTCCGCCAGGTCACAGGGCGGCCCAGGTCACAGTTTTTTCAACGAAGAGTTGGGAGAAAAACAGCATCTTTAAAGCAACATAGTTTGTAAATGTGTATAAGAGTTGATTGAGTGGAAGTAAATTGGTTGAACCAACAAGTCGAACTGTTGGATTTCTGGCGAGTATATGCTTACATACTTGGATGTGGTTTTAAACTTTAAACCAACATGCATAAGTGGGAGGCCGCGAGGCCCCTGAAATCGTAGCGTTACTTGTGCGCATGACATCACTCATAGAATTGGTTTAAGGGAAAATTTATAGGAAAACTCTATATTTGGTGGTAAAAACATGTAAAAATCATGGTTTCCTGTAGGTTTTCCCTTAAACCAATCCATTGAATCACTCTCTGGGGGGCAGCCCATGGTTTTTGAAAGTTATGAAGCTGCAAGGCGGTGGTGATTCAGTTCGTGAAATGGTGAACAAAGCTAGGTGAATTCTATGGTTAGTTTATATGCATGCTTATAATTGGATGTTTGTATGAATGTTTATATGGATGTTTATATGGATGTTTATAGATGTTTATAGGTAGGTTAACGGTTAGCTATGGTTTATGGTATATATATATATATCTACCATAAACCATGTTGTATGTATATATATATATATCTCGAACTAGTTGATGAGGTTTATTTCAACCAACCAACCAAGAAACAGTTCACGGATGACCAACTTGCGGAGATCCACGCATCTCTCTGTCTCAGTGGAGCTACCCAAAAGGAGGTAGCCTTTGGTTATGACTAACACTTTGCCATGGAAAATCATCACCTTTTTTCACTTTTAATGGGTACATCATCTATATATAAATGGGTCATCTATACCATGGCAAACTGTTAAATAACCAGAGGGTAATAGACATTAACGGTTTGTATTATCACATTTCAAGTACTTATGGTAATTAAAAGCTTGCTTTGTATGGTTCAATTTTAATTTTCAACTTATATCACTTATACATGCTTATAACTGCTTATACCCATCATTTCTATTCTTTCTTGTATCCCCATTTGCGTGAATTTCACATATTATACCATCCCCCTATGCATAAATACCACGCACACCCTTGATTTAGTAACTGGGTCTGTTTATTCTGGGATCCGCCACAATGAACTATATTTCATATTGCCGTATTTTGGCTCTCTCTCTCTCTCTCCCTGCCTGTCTCTATACATGTACAATAATATATGCCCCCCATTTTAGACTGGTCAACTTATGTTGACCACCCCGTTATGAACATATCACTAGGCTTATTGTATTCTTGAATATTCTTGATGGTTGACCCGTCATTAGGTTCATATGTTTGCCCCATCATATCCCTAATTGGACCCATGGAAAAAGATCCTATCTATGCAATAATTACACTGATTGGTTAGTAAATATGTCCATTCTTGGGTTATTATATAACTTAGTGACTTAGTATTTTTCTAATCCCCAGTAGAATCCCCCTATATTTAACCCATCAGGGCGTTGTCGCAGGTAGGGATCCAGCTCTCAGAGTCCTTGGGCAAATACACCACGCCCATCACACCTCAGCTCCGACCGAGCTGCGTGCTGTACGAGGTGCGACGCCGTGGGGGCCAGGGGGGCAACGGTGACGCGGCAAAAGGTTGTGTCAATGGATTGGTTGGAGAAAAAATCCATAGGAAGAACCCGGGTTTTTCCAGAGAACCAGGCTGATTACCTGGGAAAATTCAAGCTATTGTCAATGGGTCAACTCATTGATGTGTGATTCTACGGATCTTGTATCCGTGAATAGGTGGGAATTTCTGCAGGAAGAAATGGGAACATGTTCTGATCAAATCAGTGGGATGTGACTTAGACAGTAGCTGGATGTTTCAAGATGTTTTTTTGATCAGCAACATTTCCATGTCCCAAAAACCGTTCACCGATTTTGTTTTGTTTTGGAAGTTGGATTTCCGCAGGCGGCCACGGGGCAGATCGCCTTTGCGGACTTTGCGTGGCCAGGTGGGAAATCCATGGAAAAACCACGAGAAACCGTGGGCTTATCATGAAATATTCGCACTTTTTAGGAGGTTTGGAGCCCCCAGTCGATAGCTAATTAAGTTGCCTTATATATAAGTGGCTTGAAAAAACAATGGTGTATGGTAGATATAACGAACTAGTTAATGGGGGTTATACTGGTTTATAAACCAACTTATAATTGGGGCAAATCCTCTGAGAAGCCGTGGCAAAAAAAACTTATAACTGGGGGATCCTGTAGAAGAGTTTGTTCAATTTTTCCAGCATTTCCCAGGAATAGGACAAGAGCGAAGCAAAAGCAACACCAGTGAAAAGGAAGTTCAGGACCCACAATTTACCTGGTCAATTTGAATAACTGGTTGGTGGTTTGGAACATTTTCTATTTTTCACAATATCTGGGATAATCCTTCCCATTGACTCATAATTTTTCAGAGGGGTGGCCCAACCACCAACCAGACATGTTCTCAAACCCTCTGCCAATCAGCCTGTCGTGATTTGCGATCAAAACCATAGAGGTAGATGTCGCAGACCAACCACCGGTTGAGTAAGAGAGGGGTCACCCCCGTTGAACGTTGGCAACAGAGGAGGATAAAGGGGATAAATGGTATACCAAACCGACTCCGAACCTATTTTCCCAAAGGACACATTTGGGACCTACATCCTAATATCGTCGGTTGCATTTGCATTATATCCCTCCACCATATCCCCATAAAATGGTTGAATTCTCTTAACAGATACCCTCTGGTAAACTACCATAACTATGGAAACTCACAATTTTTAATGGGTAAATCCAATATAAATGGCCATTTTCAGTAGCTATGTTGGTTTACCAGAGGGTATTGAGTGTAAGGCCAAGAGGCATGAGGTGTGTTGAAGCCACCGTATCAGTCCATAGATGTCCATAGCAACCCCCGATGCCGACAAGTCGGAAACCTGGAACATCGTAGAACTTCTGTAGAAAACATCATCGAATTACCATCCTTGAGCCACTTTTCGGCATTTCTTTCGGTTTATTATTAAATCCCACGACATCCCATTCTATCCCCGTATTCCAGTTGGATCCGTGAAATATCCCCAAATCATTGATAATCATGAAATTGAATCCCATCTAAATCCCCATTTTCCCGGAGGGAAGTGCCCAATTTCTCCATTATCGAAGGAAGTTTAGAAGTCAAACTTCTGACTCACAGGCAGATGCCGCAACAGTCGTGAGAAGAGCCAAAGTCAAAAGAGAAAGAGTCAGAGAAGAGAGAGTCAGCAGAAAGAAGATCAAAGCGCGCGAAAAGGTAGACAAGTTGCGAAAAACTGTGTTTTTCCAATGTTTTGAGGCTCAGGAGGGTCGAAAAGTGGTCTCGCCAAAGTGGCCGGTGCGGAGCCATTCGGTCGGGTAAGACATGAACGGTTGCGCGGCGCTGGGTCGCAAAGCACATTTGGAGGTTAAAAGCACCTCAGGTTCGGAGCACTTTTGGAAGTTGAGCTTGTCAAAAACTGCGCGGGGCTGTGGCGCGAAGCACAGTTCGAACTCAAAATGGAAAAACAAATCCGCATGTTTGGAGCACGTTTGGAAGTTTAGATGTTCAAAAAGTGGACGCGGCTGTGGCGCGAAGCTCATTTCCAAGTCAAGATGTTAAAAACGCGTCATGCTCGGAGCACTTTTGGAAGTTGAGATGTTAAAAAAGTGCAAACGGTTGTGGCGCAAAGCGCATTTCGAAGCTGAACATGGAAAAACACATGTTCGGACCACTTTTTTGACGTTGAAGCATGGGTTCTCTACCCCGCCAAAAGCAAGAAAACCGTGAGGGTTTTGTAGCACTTTCGAAAACGATGGCAGGCGTGCGACGTTTGAAGAGGGCCTTCTAAGATGCATTTCGCATGGCAGGCGCAGTACAACAGACAATTTCCATCAGAGATGTTAGGAGGTCAGGGGGCTGATTTCCTGAGAGAGGTTGCATTTTGGAGCATCAGATAGTTAATTATTCAGGTTTTCTATGATGATTTTGCGCGACAGGTGCAACACTTCGTATAGATAGATAGACAGAAAGGATAGGATAGGATAGGACAGATGGAAATGATAGGATAGGATAGGACAGATGGAAAGGATAGGATAGGATAGGAAACGATAGGTTCGGATAGGTTCGGATAGATAGGATAGATAGGCTAGATAGGATAGATAGGCTAGATAGGATAGATAGGCTAGATAAGATAGGATAGATAGGATATATAGGATAGATAGGATAGATAGGATAGATAGGATAGATAGGATAGATAGGGATAGATAGATGAGATAAGATAAGATAAGATAAGACCAGACCAGACCAGGCCAGACAGACAGACAGACAGACAGACAGACAGATACATAGACAGATAGGTAGACAGATAGATAGATAGATGAATGGATGGATGGATGAAGAGACTTTCGGTCCATCAGTTCGCATTGCCACCCATGAATCACAACAACTCACCTCTTCACCTCTCCTATAGGTTTCCTATCTTTGAACCTTCCACCGCCTTGTGCGGTACTGGTACCAATGTATCCCCAGTATTCTGGGACCGGAGGAGATGCCATGAACGCTGTGAGCGCCGTGGATCGCCTTGGTGCCCCGGCAAAAACCCCAAAAAAACTTGGGGTTTTGGACATCCCAGGATTTTTTTTTGGGTTGCAAATCGTGATTTACATCGGTTGCATCTCTTCTCCAATGTTTTTTTTTTGTGTGGGGGGATGGGGGGGGGTAAATGATTTAATTACATTAAATAAGTGGTTTCCCAACTTGTCAGGCTCCCCAAACCCTAAATAAAATTTTGGCTGACATTCAGCCCCAAAATGGGTATGCGTCAAAAATGTCATCGATTTTTATTGTTTTTCTAGGTTTAGGTGGGCAAACATTCATAAACACCACTTGGAATATGGTTTATCCCATTATAATCCCATGATTTATGGTGTTTCATGGTTACCACTAGTTACCATTTGGGGATTTGGCCAAATTTCCGTTCGTATCAGCCGCGCGTCACTGGTTCCAACGACCAAAGCGCCCAGGAAAGTCGTTGAGGCTCTTTGCGGACCACGCTTTGGTGGAAGAGTTCTGTGCCTTGGAACCGGATGATTCGTTTGATCGAAGATCGAAGGAACCCTGACTGGTGAAACTGATAACACGGGATGTATATATATATATATATATATGTATGGGATATATATATATGGATATATGAAATATATATATGGATATATATATATGGATATATATATATGGATATATATATATAATATAAATCTATAGGTGGATAATAGTGGGATAAAAATCGTAATAATTAGATAACTTATCTACTGATAATCATACTGGGATAGTATTAATGTCATTACATGTCATTAGCCAATAGTTAGTTTATGATCCCATCCCAAAATCCCATGCCCGTAGTATGAAAGACACCTCCATTGTATGGTCCCAATCATTGTGGAAATCCCTACTGTTTACCATCCTTTCTTAAAGGTTGTTTATATAATATGAACAGGGGAAGGGATTAATGTGATAATGATGAAGCTGATAAGTAAACCCAGAATCGTTCAGGTTCATTGCCCATGGATGTGTGAATGGTTTGATCAACCCAAACATCATTGCAGTAACCATGGCTGGGGGACACCATCATCCGCCATGGGGGATGGTATTATTATTGGATTTACCTCACTATTATTTATAAACTATAGGGTTCCCACAAAATGATAAGATAAGGTTGCCAGGAAGTTTTGGATGAGATTGGAAACTCAAAATTCTTGGGTTCGCAACTCTCCTAGCTATTCTATGAATGCTATGAACGCTGACGTTATTTTGCTCAGTTATAGTGGAAAGAATGTTGTTCCTGATTTTGGGTGATAGGTAGCAATGAGGATGATTGAACGGCTTCAACCATGGGGGATCTAACCAGGGGATATAATCCGGAGATGATGGTTGGTTCATGCCAAGTTCTCTGGTTGCATCTCGTTACACTAGGATACGGAACTTGCGGATGAATCCAATGGGTGACCCCCAGCCTCGGTTTATGGGGGAGAAGACCCACGTGTCGAGAACATCCCCGAGAAGATCGGGAATCTACATAATCTACCCATGAAACAAGGGGAAATGATGGGAAAAGGGGAGATTACGCGACCTCTCTGGCCAACTTCAACGCAGAGGATCGTTCCAGTTCCTTCCCTGAACTTGAGTTCCATCAGAACTAGCATGGACCATCCAAAAAAAATATTTCGAGGACAGCCAGGGTATCTTCCAGACGCATATCTTATTTCGAAGGCTTCGAAATTTGAATCTTCAGGGTAGAGCAAATTTGCCCAGCTCCTTTGCAATGGCTCCAAGGGAATCCGCGAGTCAAACAGATTTTCTATAGATATCTGGTTGGTGGTTTGGAACATTTTTTATTTTTCATTTCATATATGTGATGTCATCCGAAACCCATTGACTTTCACTCCATCATTTTCCAAGATGGTTATACAAAACCACCAACCAGATATCAATTCCCCATGTCTCCTGGATTTCCCTGGATTTCCAACGGGCCGGGTTGAGCGCATCAAACGGGGCGGCCGAAATCCGCCGAAATCCAGGTGAGGGCTACGCCCAGACGCAACGCAGCCGACGGAAGAACACCTGGAGCCACGTGTGTTGGGCCTGGAGTTCTCCGCGCAGAAGTGAGTCCAGCATCTTGGGCCGACCTGGCAGACCTGGTTGAGGGGATGAAAACCTGTTGCCATGCCCATATGCTCCATGTAATTATGGTAGATTTACCTACAAAACTGGGTGATTTTTAGGGCAGTTTTGTAGGTAAATATACCAGCACCATGGATCCTATGGGATGGGATTCTTAACGGTTTTTCATGGTTTATCACCCATAAAGGGAGGGGTAGATTCCAATATCTAAGGAAACTGGGTTGACACAAGATAGGATGAGATTTATGAACTCGAGAAATTAACCTTAACAAATCGAGAGTTGCGCCGGATCCATGGTTGATCAAGCAAGACAGTCTGGGGTGATTTCGGCAACCAAAATGATAGCATTGGAGTTTGCTTGATGGGTACCCTCTGGTAATGACTAACAGTTTGCGACATTGAACATGGCCATTTATAGTGAGTTTTTCATTAAACATCGTGATTTTCCACAGTTATGTTAGTTTACCAGAGGGTAAGTTGGTTCATAACTGGGCTAACTGTTGGATCCAATGACTTCTGGGAATATGTCTTGCTGCATATCTGTAGGTTTTTTTTTCGTTGGATGGGGTGATCAGCCAATGAAAAACCCCACATCATCAGGGGTTCCAACGACCAGAAGAAAAGCAGCTTACCCTGGGGTAATGATCCAAAAATATATGGAAAACCCATGGAGAACCCATGGTTCTCGTTTGGAAAATGATCTGCAAATGGTGGGGTTTCCACATCTTTGTGTATGTTTAACAGGAGGTTTTTTCGGGGCTGGGATCGGGGTCCTTCGTTAGAAGTGCGGTGTATCCCCTTCATTTCAGCTTCCCCACTTCATAGGTGGTGCGCCATAGGTGGCCAAGTTGGTTTACTGCAGTCGCACAAGTGCCCGGCTTATGGTATAACAGTATCACATATATCACATGTATATATAATTATATATACACATATATACACATATCGAACTAGTTGCATAACCGGATGAACATACGGAAATATTTGGGGGGACATCCCAGTTGGTAACGGGTTTTCAGCCGAAAAAAACTGGAGTACATCCCCTACAGGCCCTAGCAAGTCATCTCCATGGATTGTCGGGGATTTCCCCGCTCATGTTTGACCACAAGGTGGTGCCCTCAATTACGCGCTGGTTATGTCAAAATAGCTATTGAAAATGGTAATTTATAGTTGATTTACCCACAAAAAATTGTGATTTTCAACAGCTATGTGAGTTTACCGGAGGGTACGTTTGTTGGTTTATTATAAATCGCCTGGGCTTATTTCATCACCATAAACCTCCCGTTCATGTAGTGATTTGCACCAACTTAGCAAACTACATCCCATGAAATCCCATTGAATCACCGGAACTAAGAATCGCATTAAATCCCATCTAGTCACTCAATTCCATTAGATCATCATGAATCTCTCTCAAATATTCTTAAAAAAATATCATAGAAAAATCGCCCAACACATCCCAAAAAGCTCCTGAAATTCGGGTGCTGAACTTCCAGGCGATGAGGAAACGGAGCTGCACTACGAGGAGGAAACGGAGCTGCTCCGCGAGGAGACGGATCTGCCGCCTGCGGACTGCAGCACCATGTGACGTCCGTCGTCACCGTCGTCACCGTCGCGGGAGGGCATGGGTCACGTCCCAAAAAGGTCCCTGGTCCGAGAGGTTGGTGGTGAAAACCCTAGGGAAAACCATGGAAAAACACCAGAAAGATATGGACAAATTGGAGATTGGACCAGTTGAAACATGACATCTTTGGAAGGAATAGGACTGTGAACCTGGCCTTTGAGAAGCAGATGATCATTCTTTGAGGAGATAGCCTATGATTCATCAACCAGGGTAACTATTAATCTGGGGTTGCCATTACACAAAAATGGATAAACATGTAGGACCACCCCCTGCTTTAAGTTGGTTCACACACCCCCTCAACTATAGATATATCATTGTGATATATCTACAAGACACCATGATTAATTATTGAAATTTTAAACCAACTTAGCAGATCTACTTGGAAGTGAAGTTCCAGTTGTAAGTGGATATTTGTAACCTGTAGTTATAGGGGTCATATCCCAACTCATGGGGGTTTAAATTCCGATGGTTATACAGTGTTATACCCATCAAAGTAACCTCAACTGCGCACCCAAGTAGAGGGGTACCACCTTCTTCGGGCGAGAATTTTGACCCATACCCAGTTGAAGGCTCATGGCCTCATATGAGTCCCGGGCTGATTGCAACGAAGAAATTCTTTGGACGTCACCAAGCGAGTTTTCCCGGCCCAAAAAATAGCGTAGGACGCCCTGAGTTGGTATCCTCTAATTCCTTCAAAACAACATGTTGGGCCTCAATTCAAATTGCTTGACTTCAAAAGTAGCGCACCAACGTGATATGATATTTGTGTCTGAAATGGCGGATGATAGACCTTGCTGGCCATCTCAAAAAAAGGAGGTAGATAGAGGTAGCATTTTCCAGGATAACCCCACAAGTTGTACCCGGATGGAGAATCCCAGCACTGCGAGTCCTGGTTCTCTTCCCTTTGGTGCCTGGCTGCGTGACACGCAGTCGAGCCGAATTCAGCGGCGGCATCGATTCGTGAAACAAGCGAGTTTGCGCCGCAAGAAATGGTGGGAACGGACCTGTGGCATGAGGCAATTTGAAGGAGCAACCGTTTTTTCCCAAGAAACTCTAAGGCTCCAAGATACCCATATGCTCCATGGTGCTGGTATATTTACCTACAAAACTGGGTGATTTTTAGGGCAGTTTTGTAGGTAAAAATACCAGCACCATGGATCCTATGGGTATCTTGGAGGTGTCTGGTAGTCGAATCCATCATATTCCATCCCCATGAGGCCTTTGGAAATCTGGCTGTAAGGTTTCCCATCTTATTGGAATTTATTGGACCTACCATATTTATTTATTGGAGAATTATTGGAATTTTAATATATAACTGGGGTGTTTGTTGTGGTACTTCCGATACCTGGGATGCAGCTTGAAGGGGTGATGTGTCCACATCCAGCAATCTTGCACAGCTGGCAACTGAGCAACTGCATAACTGGGCTACGTCTTAATGATTGGGTCCTTAATGTATGGCAAAGCCAGCAGAAATCTCCAACTGGGGATGGCTCTTTACCTCTTTACCATGAATTTCTGATGAAATGACGATGATGATGGGGTTTACCACGTCATGGCCTTGACATGTTTTGACGCGTTTTCAGAAGTTTGGCGGCCACAATTTACTCCGATGTATACTGCAGGGCAGTTTGAAACATGTCTGTCCCCACAATTCGTAAGATGCACGTGGCATTGTGAGACGAACCTTTGGTCAAAACATGGCTGGAACGATCTATATGAGTAATGCATGATGACTTAGAGCAACCACATCATCATAAAATGATGGGCTTAGTACATCCATGTATCTCATATATATATATATCTCTCTCTCTCTCTCTCTTGAGGAAGCCATCAATTTCATGGCCTCATGGCTACAGTTTGGGATCGATCATCCGGAAGGACCGTCAAACACCAAACAGCATCAAGCAACAAAGATGCCAGTCCTCACGATGCCGACTGACAGTCCTGTGGCGGCGCCAACGGTGCAAAACGCCAATTGACCTGCAAGTGCACGCTGAAAAGAATCGGAAAGATCCACGGTCCCTGCAGGGAAGATCATGGGAAGGTCCCATGTGGCGCCATGTGGGTCCTGGAAATCGCTGCGGGTCTGCCAATTTTCTTGGGGACAATTGTGATCTGTTCAGACAAATCCAAATGTAGTGTGAATGTAACGAAATGAAACAAACACACAATGATACGCAGGTTTCCTGAAATGAGGGTACCCCCAAAAACCATAGGTTTCAATACTCAAATGGTTTAATGACTTGGATGATTTGGGGATCCCCCCATTTCAAAGAAACCACCAATGTTGGTTACACCGTCTGATTCTCCAAACACTTTTGAGTTTGGACCACCATTTGGGTTGGCGGACCTTTGCGAATCCAACTTTGGACTGAACGCCCTGCTCCAGTGCTAATTTTGTTCATGAGATCCCACTAAACCACTTAAAAATCACATGAAATCCCCATCTGCTATTTGCTACTAATAGTGCATGCATGACTTCGCTCGGGCATTTTTTTTTGCAGGGGACATCCTCATCAAATCCAGATTTTGGCTCGTTTCATCCTCATTTCTGATAGTTCAGCATGTGTTAAAACCTCACTTTCTGGTTTCATCCCAACTACCCCAATTTTGGTGGGTAAAATCATGTTACCCTCTGGTAAACTAACATAGCTGTAGAAAATCACCATCCTTAATAGGTAAATCAACTATAAAGGTGCCATTTTCAATAGCTATGTAACAAATTACCAGAGGGTAAATCTCCATTCTTTCAAGTTTCATCATGTTTCATCCCAACTTTTTCGCCGCGTTGCCACTTACTCGCCGCCGAGGAGCTTGCACCCGACAATGGTCGCAACCCGACGGAGAGCAACGGAGTGAGGTGCAGTGAAGTTAGTCAGGCGCTGGGGCCGCTGGGGCATGGTCAGTGGACGATGGTCAGCTTTTTCAATTCCAAGCGTTGCAGAAGCGTTGGACCCTGGATGGGGATGGGGCCGATGGGCCCCCCAGTCGATAGCTAATTAAGTTGCCCTATAAGTGGCTGAAAAAACGATGGTTTATGGTAGATATAGCGAACTAGTTAATGGGGGTTATAAACCAACTTATAACAGGGGGCACCATCCTGTGAAAATCAACCATGTTTAGAAACTCTTCTACCATCAGGGTCGAACTGTATATCCTGCACCAGTTGGTCACGATTGGGATTCCCAGTGAAACACTGTACCCTCTGGTAATGACTAGCAGTTTGCTATTGAAAATGGCCATAGAAATAGTATGAAATAGTGGATTTACCCATCCCTAAGCATCCAGCGTAGGTATATATTATATACATTCGCCTTCGTAGGTGATATTTGGCTACATGACCTCTAACAGAGGCTCCGTAGGTGATTTTTGCCTACATCAAATCGACTCTTATTTCCGACAGATTTCGACAGATGCATGCTCACAAGTTGCACAGTTTTTTTCCTCATTCAAGAGCATGATTCAACCGTGGGTGTTTTACCCGGATCAGCCATCGCATGCAAACGCGAAGTTCAAGTGCATTTCCTTACTCCACTCCAGGAATCAACATAACTCAAGGTTGCTAACCATCCCTTGAAAAGAACAAACCATATAAAAAAACAAACTTGTACTTACCAAAGTCCAGCATCGATGAACCCTTCTCGCCAGGGATTTCATAGATCCCATGAAATCTTCGTCACCATAGCAGTGTGACGCGCCTTATGAGCTTTTGTTTGATTCATTGAAGGGGACCCCAACCCTAAACAAAGAGAAAAATAGTCACATATAAATTTCGAACATGATATTAACACTATATTCCTTCAGGGAACGGCATGACTCACGGAAGTCCCGCTGCTCCAGCAAAATCTCCATGTATGCCTCAGGTGTTGAAGATGTTGCCCAGGGTTGCTTTCAGAATTTGTTTGGCCAAGGGTGATGAACCAACCATCACAGATCAATCTAGTGCTGGCATGGTGCATGGAGTTTTGGACGCAAAGGATATCGAACAATCCCACGCCCAAAACAGAGCAAGTTCAGTGCTTTGTATGTATCGCAAAACCTGAGCGTTTCAAAATGTCGCCAGCAAAAATACTCTTCAAAAAAAAGTGTTTGTTCACAATCATAGGTCATGTGGTCAAACATATATTATATAATTATATATAATATATATATACTAGTGCTGGATGCTTAGGGGTTGAAATAACTAAAAATACTCTAAAAGAGTGCATGGCTGGATGCTCCATGCCCGTAGCATAAAGACGTTCTGCCTGCTCTTCGGTCAGGTCAATGGGGCAATTCTCTAAGTCCAAATTCCAATTTGACAATTGGGTCATCATCAAAGAACACAGTCTGAGCTCATCAGTTTGCTGTGAAGCATCCAGCTGCTCGCACAAAGAGCGAAGGCAAACTGCCAAGAAAGAGATCATGATCCGAGTGCCATATGCTTTCAAGCGCAGTTCACCAGGAATTGCATCAAAATGGCCAATGGTGATAAACTGGGCTGCATGCCTAGATATGGTAGAGGTCAGGTAACCCAAAATACACATAGGAATGGAACAGCCTGGGAATCTCAAAATACCCCAAAGAAAATTGATGATTGAATTGCATCCAAAGACTGAATGGAGTTTGCAGTGATCCACTTCCTGAAACGCATGGTGAGCACCTGCACACTGTCCGAAAAGATCCCAAACATGGTTAAAGTAGATGGAGAATTACGAGGTCTTGTAGCCAAAAATCACCTACGAAGTTGAATATAGATGGAATATATCTACTTTAAATACGTACTGGAGCACTACTATCATATAATATAATATAATATATATATATACACCGTATACTGATGCTGGATGCTTAGCTAACCCATGTAGTTTCATGGCCGACCTCGAGCTGCTCCGAAAGTGTTGGCGCTGGCGATGTCCTTCCTTCGCCTTGGCATTTGCTGCATGGCCGCATGGGATCTGAAGGCTGCAGTTGTCTTGGTGGGCTAATCCCAATATAGTGGTGAGATATATTTTTAGGGGGGAATATCACCTTAGAAGGTTCAAGCGAACAAGTAGGACAGGGTTGAAAGTTGTTCAAAAGATTACCTCATCAAATCCCAAGGTGCTGAAGTAACCAAAACTCATGAGGCAAAGTAAGGCACCACCATTGCAAAAATGTGCTAAGCCCAAGTGCAACGTATGCATTAGGCAATAGCGAATCATGGTGGGATCAAAGCCCACTGTGAATGCCAGGGGGTTGATGAAACCCTTCCTGAATTGCAAGCAGAAAGGTCATAACAATATCCCGGTGAACACTTGGAATTCCTTTGCCACCAACAGAGGGTGATAAAATGTAACCCACAGCCAAGGTTCAAGGCCTTTGTAAAAAATTGAGCTGTGCTCATCCGGGGAATTCCTTCGAAATTGCCATAGTACCTAAGCTTGTGGCATACATTCATATTTTAAGCTGTTGAGAGGTAGAAACTTAAACAAGTTTTGGGAAAATGTTTATTAATATTACTGCCAGGAAATGGTAAAACAAAATAGTGGCCCTGAGTGCAAGCCACACATTGGGGCCATACCCTGCTGTGGCGAAGCATTTGAAACATATGCCGTATTTCCAAGTCCAATGTCGTCGTAGGTTCCAAGATTCCCTGTGCCATTTCCAATCTCCCCTGATCAGGGAACTTTGTGTCAAATACCACTGTTATTATTATTGATAACCTCATTGCTGTTGGGGGCTATGTACAAAAAACATTGATGTATATTGAAAATTCTATGTTTAATACACCCCACCGGATAGATGCCAGAGAATATGGCCCACCATGGATTTTGGAACCAGCTTTGGCTGCACGAGCTCCAGTCAATGGTCGTCCCTCCATATCCACCGATGGAAAGGCACCACCATATGCCACCTAAGTTTCTCCAGACATGGTCAAACACCAAGATTGGGCCTTCCTTTTTAAATCCCCGCGCTAACCTAATATATATATATATATATAAGTTGTTGCCAATTACGAGATAGACCCAAACACAAACAACTCCCAACATTGTGGTTGATAAATACCATCTCCAAATTAATGCTAGGTTTATTTTGGGTTCACCACGGTAAGTTTCTCCACCCAGCAGCATTCAGACTCCAAACGATCACCCTGTACAAAGGGTCCAAGGTGGCAGGTCCTAGACATAGCTCACATCTAAATGTTGCCAGAAGAAGTCGGTTCACATCCAGACCTGGCAGGGCGTGAAACATCCCTGACCTGAAACTTTTTTTGGGGATTGGATACATTTGGGGGTGATGTCCACCATAATATTACCATTTCAAAAAAAAATATGGTTGGCCTCGTGTGCGAATGTCATTGGACTGGCTTCTCTTAGCACGATCAAGACACACCAGGCTAATACAAATGATGATGATCTTGGCTCCTCCCAAAGTGTATTTTGCATCGTCTCCGCTAATAGCCACAGGGTTGTGAATGCCATCATCGGTGGCAGGATGGTAAGGCTTGAATTGTTTCCATCTGTCCCAGAAATCTTTGATGATATTTGGGGCTATGTAGAACCGGCCATTCTCAGCAAGCCAACTGAGCAATTCGTGCGGTAAGATCACTGGAACTTTCATCGTTGTGGTTTTGGTCCGATCATGTGGATCTTTGCATGGGACTTCCACCATCCAAGGTTCCTCAACACAGTTTTGGGCAGTAAATAGGTGTAATCTATTTTTCCAGGAAAATATAATATTTTGTTGGATATGATTCTTAAAGAATAACAAACTGTTAATATCATGCTAAGCATCTACTGGAAGAGAAAGAGCTCTATAAAGGTCCCGTTCACAGTTTCCAGGGTATTTCCCATGACAACCGATTCGCGCAATCAAGCGTGTAACCCTCGAACATGATCCATTGCTTTCCAACACCATTGACTGCGCAGCTTCTTGCAATTCATAGCAGCTGGTTGCACCCCGGCCAAGGCTTGCTAGAAGCGTGTCGGCAAACGGCATCTCGGACTCATCAATCCGACCTGCGGTTGGGGGCTGGTGCACAGAAATATATAGTACAAGTTTCAACCCCATGTGTTCTTCTCAAGCTTCTTGATTTGAACCAGTTGATATGAATAATTGGATAGGATTAAGATTTTAATCGAAGAAACTTCTAAAGAAAGACCTCCAGTTCAAAGTCCATTGTAATATGCCCAAGTCCATGCATTCCATTTTTTCTCCCGAAGTTTGCGCACAGAATGTAAATCGTATTTGGGCAAAATACTTGAGCTTGGCTGCAGAGGTTTGGTCCTAGCTCTCAACCAGCTGAAGTGACATGCCAGAAGTGACAATGTTCTCACTGCCACAAAACCCAGGCCCCGGGGACAGCTCAAAATCTGGATTGTATTAATCTTTTGATGGTCTAAATCGTCTTAAAGATGTCTAAAATCCAAAAGCAAAATGATTATTCAGGACAGTCGCCCGTCCCCGAGGTTCAGCATCTTCAGATGCTCAAGCTCCAGGCTGCTGGTCAGGTTCCTTGGCTTCGGCCTTCTTAGCCTTGGGTTTGCTACTGACCTTCTTCACATGGGTTGCCGCAGCTTTGTAATCCTTTACACTCTGAACAAGTCCCTGTGTGGACACCAAAATCTCTTCATCAGGCTTGCCCTCAGCAAGGGAGGTTTCCAAGGAGGAACGTTTGGCTTCAATAGTCGCCAAATGCACACCAGTGTCCTTCACCATGGCATCCACCATATGCTCAGGCCTAGGCTCATCTAAAACAGGTGACATGGTATGTAAAATGGCACTTGTATTCAGGTGGTTTTGTTTCGCTTTCATACCCAACACCTATATTGAATTGAGATCCCTGCAACCCCGCCCCTTGGAGTTTCGAACGCCATGACTTGCACTCCAGAATTGCATCTGCTGAAGATTTCATTGCCTAGGATGGTGACGGCTAGTGAGATTCAATATACTAGGTAATATGGGAATATCATTATATATATATATATATTATATATAAAACTCAATACAGCTTAGATACCGCAGTGGCTTCCTGAAGTGGAGTCTTGGCTTTGGGGGCCGTCTTGGGCTTCGGTTTCGGTTTTGGTTTTGCGGCGGGGTCCTTTCCCTTACCAGCACCTTTGCCTCCCAATTCCCCAATAGCTGCCCCAGATCGGAGATGTCCGGTTGGGGCTGCTGCCACGATGGGACTTGACCTCAAAAAAAGGTGATGTAAAACAAATCCTGTTGGTAATGCACACATGGAACATATTGGGGAGTGCAATCCGAACTCAGGTTATCACTGCAGAGACTGAGCTTGGGCAGCACTTATGCGACCGGAACTTTGGGTTCCCACTTGGTTCAGGTGGGCATGACGGTCCGTCTCAGTGGTAGATTGCCAGCACCAATAGAGACGCAGATCCTGGGAAGATTCTGCAATCATAAAATCTGAAAACCTCACAATATAGAATCAAATAGGTTTGTCTTTCTCGGGAAAAAAAGCTCCTCACGGTCGGGAAAATCAGGGTTGGACTCATACTGCTGCGCAGCAGTCTTCCTCTCGATGAGGTCCTTGACGGTTGCATCATCCTTGTATTTCTCATCCAAGTCCTTAATAACATCCCAAAGATGAAAATGTAGCTAGTTGACAGAGACAATCCATATATGTATATCTATATTTTTTGAAGGTGCAAATTTTGAAAGTATAACTTTCTATGTGAGCTGGGTATGTGCATATTATTTTGGTTGCTTTCAAGTCACGACCTTTGACATCAGCCCCCAGCTGCCATTACGGGCATGCTCTCGCACATCGGAGTTTTGGGTGACCAAATCGCATTGTAACCAGTTTTCACCGCATTCAACAAACATGTTGAATAGAGCATCCCAGCCTTCCTGGTTCCGACCTTCACCTAGGCCATATTGAAAAGCAACATGGGGACCAGATGGAAAAATGTGGTGCCATTTTACGGCTGACATCTTGGGGCATAACTGTTCTGAAGTTCTTTCAATTTCTTCTTGATCGCATCTGGGCATTTGGAACCTTAGCTGATTGGAATTCTGAAGAAGAATTGGAATGTGTTGATGCATTTTGTTCTCAACAAGACTTGAATTAACACAAGGAACTTTTCATAGACCGGTGCCATTTGGCCTTCTTTGCACGAAGAACTTTCTGCTGGAGTGAGGCAGCATCCGGAGCCTGTGGTGCTCAAACAGCCCCCCCCAATATCAGAAGAACACCTTAGAAGAAGTATATACATCAAGCTGGGTAAGAATCAGATTCTTTCCATCCACTACCACTCATCCAAGGACAGTACGGTAGCAGCTTCTCCAGCTGGTGCAGGAGGCGGAGTGGCAGGAGGTGCCGCGGCTGCATTGGGGGTCATGTCGACGGTGGTGGCACGGGTCAGTACTTGTTTGATGACACTAGTCGGGCTGGGTCTCTGTGGAACTCTTTGGGGAGTTTGTTCCACCGGTTTGCAATTCAACATGGCTTGGAGCCACACCCGAAACACAATCATCTCGTCCACTGGGTCCTCACACCCAAACTTGCAGGTTGCACCCTCAGGAGTCTGGGTCTGCATGTAGCTTTCAAAGGCATCCATGCTAGGGTGGCCTTGATAGGCTTCAACGGTGGTATCAACTTCAGCTTTACCCAACTGCATCACCTGGGCCTCAATTGATTTCAACGTGTCTCCATGGAGGAGCCTTGCAAATTCAGCAGCTACCCCAGCATCAAATTTGAGCTCTCCAGTTACTCCAGTCTCCACAGTTTCGGGGGGCGTAGGGACACCTGTGGCAGCCCCCAGTGTAGATGTGTCCTCCTTAGGTCCCATAGTTTCAACTGTCGGTGTCTCCACAACAGGGCTTGGAATGGCTACCGTAGAACCAGTAGAAGTTGTCTTGGCCTCTTTCTTTTTCATCTTCTCATCATATCGCCATCCACTTTCAAGGGTCATGGAATCCACCGAAGATGAACTTTCTAATTTTGTCATCTTGGAACTTGATGGAGGTTCAACATGCTCAGTGTTGGTAGGCTCACCTTCCACCCCAGTAGGCTCCGTACAGTTGGCAGCACCAGCCCCAGTTTCAACATTGTTGGTGTCACTAGCATCCATGGTACTAGACGGCACCGTAGGCTCACCTTCCACCCCAGTAGGCTCCGTACAGTTGGCAGCACCAGTGGTGTCACTAGCATCCATGGTACTAGAAGGAACCGTAGCAGTTTGACCCTTTGGCACCTTGTACTTTGACCAAAACATAGCTAATGCCCGGGACGGTGTGGCCACAGGTACCACTGCAGCATCTTGACCATCTTTAGCATCATGGGTTTCCTCCATGGCTAAGCATGTAACCACACCACAAAAGGTTGAATTAGTTTGGATGTGAACAAACCAACACTGCAATATACACATCAGATTTCCCCATCCTCGGCCAAGGTTGGTGTCGCCTCTGGAAGACTTTCGCCAGGATGATCATCCCTGCGAGAATCTTCAAGGCTAGAAGCGAGTCCGTCCTGGGAGTGAAGGCCAATATTAAGGGCTGATAGAATTCATAGCAAACAACTATGTGTATGTATATATATATAATATGTGTGTGTGCGTGTATGAAAATTTAAACCAAGGTGAACCGAGGCACTGCTATGGAATCCAAAACACCAGGGGATAACGAGATAGTAGACATGTGTGAGATGTCAGGCACTTCCTCCATGGGGACAGAATCTGATGCCCCCGATGTTAGCGTTGGTTCTCCACTGCCTGATCACACAAGCAAATCTAAACCCTATTGCTGATTCTATATGTCCGAAATATTTTTGAAATTCACAACCCCCACCTCCACTGGGCTTGTGAGAGGGGCCGGTCACTCCCTCCATGGGGCTGGGACAAGAGGCCACTGCTGTAGATCCGCCACCACCTGATCAAATATGTTGATGTTTATTTGGGTTTTGAAATGTATATTGTTTTAACTATATTCTGAAACCCAACCTCCATCGACAGCATCAAATCGCGCCAAAAGGTTACAAGCCGCTTGGCCAGGGGTAGTACTTTCTGATGTCAATGAACTCGCAGTGCCAGATTTCATAAGCTTCGAGTCCGGGGTGACCTTCTCTGTGTTGTCCTAGCTGGGGATAAATGATTTCATTAAGATCAAGCCCCAAGAAAAAACACCTCACATATATATATAATATGTTCACCCGTTCCTTTGTGACCTTATCCTTCTTCCTTTTCACAGCTGGGGCAGATTTCGGCGCCACAGGAGCTGCAGGAGCCAAACTCAAAGCCTTTGCTCGGCGTAGCGCAGCTGCATTGAGCACTTGTTGGACGACCTGCTGGGAGATTAATCATAGCAAACCAGAATGGGGTAGCCCACGCCAAAAAAACAAGCTTTTAGCCAGAATTGTCATATATCCCATGTGCCTTTTGGCCATCATCATCTCGAGGAAACTTGCTAGAAGCGGCCATGCCCAAGGCAAATCTCCCAGCTTGGAGTCAGAAATGCTTCAGATAAAAACCAAAAAATACGGTGATCACATGTTATGGTTTTCTCGTTACGGTCTCGTTACGGTCTCGTTACGGTCTCGTTACGGTCTCGTTACGGTGTTTCGACAGATTTCGATACTTTCCCTTTTACGTATGTATTCCGATAACCTTTTGTCGTTACGGTCTCGTTACGGTCTCGTTACGCTCTCGTTACGGTCCCGTCACGTCAGCTGATTACAGCAAAGTGACAGGACATCACCGCAGGAACTCAGAAATAGGGTGATAGGGCCATAGTTTTTCAGCCAACTCACAGGCAATTAGAGATGCACCTAGATACAAAACATGCAATATACGAGTTCAACACCCTAAGATGCCAGCATTGAACACCATATCCTTTCACCCCTGGTAAATCACAAGCAATCAAATTACAAATTTGGATGAAACCTGTTCGAATTGTGTGTGGCAACACCACATCATCCCGGGCTTGCCAAGACTCCTATTTTTTTTGATGGTGCGTGCTACTAAATCAAGGGATTGACAAACCCACTTAAGTTTTTAACATATTTAATCAGTACTATGGGATTGTAAAATGGATTTGACACTAGAGATGTTTTCTTTAGAGAGGCAAGCCGGGCTGGGGGGTGAACAATCCCTTGCGCTGTGCATCAAGAAGCACTTGCCGAAGGGGTTCAAGATTGGCGTGTTGCCAATCAAACGGGGCATGCGGCATCTGCTTAGGCAGCACCACATCTACACCATTTCTGTCTTCTGCCTGCATTCGCGCTTGGATGCGAAGTGGAAGTGCTGCAGGACAGGATTTGCCATGTCTTGGGAGGCACAGTACAGATTGAACAGTCAAAGGTCATATTCAACAATTAACAATTTGGAAAGCAATTTCAAATACCAATAATAGTGTTGGAACGAACATAGCCCCAGGACGGCCTTCAAACAACCCACCATACCCCATCAAGACAATCCACATACCCTCATATATAGTTTTTCCTGTGAATCTTTGGGACCCCAATGGAGTGAAACCATCGAACATCATAAAGGATATTATATATATATATAAATACCACGAAAGATCAAAATTGACAATGGGATATGTTATGGGGTTCAAGGTGCGGTGTTTCACTTTCTCCCAAAAGTTTGAGACCAATATTATTCTGACTAGCTGTTCAATCCCTTGTTAACATATAGATTAATATATATATATATATCTATATTCAACAGCAATTTGACTGTGTAGATGCCAGAAAAAATAAACTGCCCAAATCCTGATTTTGGGGGATATGCACCCAATGAAAAAACATCTAAAAATTGTGGAACCCGTCCCACCAGCCACCAGATGGTGTTGAAGCACCCATGCTGCAAAGGACGGAGTGTACGCAGCACTGCTAGTCAAAGATCGACCTCCAGACCTGAGGCAACGCGCCAAACACCAGAGGAGTGAAAAACAAGTCAAAATCGAAGAACTGAGTATGATGTCCACTAGAATGTACTGAGCCATAGGCACTGATGGTTTTTGAGTTGTCTTGGAAATAGTTTTTTTGACCATTCCAGTATCACCCTTTTGTTTGATCTCCTCCTTCTTGGCGGGATTCATCTTATAGTCCAAGGCTGCAATCCAAGACCTCCCAGGTAAAAACTAAGAGAGAGAGAGAGAGAGAGATATATATATATATACATACCACATGGGACAGTGTGTCATGCCTGTATGACATGTATTTGGGCAACCCTGGGACTGTATCTCTTAGCTGCCGACGGTGTCCCCACCAAGTATGATGGCTTGCAGGCAAAGTGGTCAAAGTTCCCCATCCAACTTAGATCAGCATTAAACAAAATGAAGAACCGAACCAATTATTTGCAAAATTCTCCAGATAAACAATCAGTAAATTGTAAACCTGATCCAAGCCACAACCGCTGGAACCATGCGTTGTAATACTTCCATGCAAATTGCATATAGGGGAAATACACCAGTTGGCTCGAAGATGGTTGTTCTACCTCAGTTTGGCAGGGGGAATTATTTCATACACCTAGATGTTCAAAATGGGTAATTCATACATGGCGTGGTTCTTACAGTGTTTTCTTATTTCGCAATAACCAAACAGGACATGTCACGACCCAGTGGGCCCGAAGCACCACACAAAGTAATATCAGCAAAGAAAATCTTGCAGCAATCTGGTTGGCCTTCAGCACCCATGGTTCTCCTTGGCTGGTATCTGGGGATATGGAGCATATCTGGTACATGGAGGTCATATCCTACATATATCCACACTTGTTTGCCCTACCTTCAACCCTGCCAAAGATTTGTTATGGAATATGTTTCAAACCTGTAAATGACCTCGGAACTCATATTCCAGGATCCTTAAGGCCCAGTTTCTCTCGTCACCAAGAATTGTTGAATAACGTCGATGGCCACTCGAGGATATCCATACCCACCTTATATAGTACATAGCAGAATAGGACTTACAAGAATTTGGGTGTTATATGTTTCTTGATGCACTCATTGCATTGTGGTCCAATTGAATGAAAAAGACAAGGCACCCACCGCATGGAATTCCTGCAAATAACAGGCCTCCTTCAGATAATCTCATTGTATCTCTCAGAGCGAAAAGGAAACCTTGCGTTTCCAAAAAGTCATTTGCCTCACCACGGCCTTCAATATCAAACCACTGCCTGAGCCGGACCAGCAGCACGGCAGGTTGAAGGCCTATGTATATTTCTGGGTGGCAAATCTCAACTGGGGCCTGGACGCTCTTTGGTTTGCAGACCCTTGGCGCAATAACAACATGTCTTAATCTTGCAGTTTAAATGAATATAGCTGCAGGCACATCCCATCAGTGAAAGTCTGAGATAGGAACTGAAGGTGGAGGTCAGGACTGCTTTACCGGCAAACAGTTCTACCAAATCCAGATCCTAGGCTGTTTGGTTGGTCAGGTGGGCTATGTTTAAAAATGAATTGAAGAAGTACTGCTGGTATGCAGACCTAGGGCACCCACACGTTGCCAGCTCATGCCATCACGCTCCCCAACTTGGCTCACAAAGTCAGTCAAGTGGATCCTGGGCAACGGAGGTGATGTCATATGAATTATATTTGCTATACTTGGCATATCTAAGTAGTGACGCATTCCCAAGAAATGCAATCTTGATTCATTTAGAAGTGGTGTTCAGGAGCTTGGATCGGTTTAGTCCCAAGAAATTTAGTCTTGATTCATATATAATATATATGTATATATAAGAATTGGTGCTATCCAAGGAATGGTATACATAGTCCAAAGAAGTGCAGTCTTGATTCAGTAGAACCGGTGCACCGAGGAGTAAAAGCCAGTGGCATTCCCTCGCGCTCAATCGGATGCCACGCCCCTTTGGCATAACAAATGTCGATCGTTGGGGGTGCCTAAGGGGCTTTGAGGTAAGCAAATGCCTGCAGTAATATTGGATTTTTTAGGGCTGTATGCAGTCATGAGTCATGAGCCCTTATGATATTGACTTTCTGATCATGCTCAAGCGTCACAAAGTCCCAAATAACTATATTTGGCGTGTTTTGGGTATGGATTATGGATGGCTTTGGAGGGAAATGGTATGAGTAAAACAAGGACACTTGGGATTGGCACGTGATAGTTTCGTTTTCCCCCATGCGTTCTGCCATGCAGCAACTGCGCGAAACACACACTGTTGTATGTAGGCTGTGAACAGCACATCAGTGTGAAGTACAAAGCGCCTATGTCAAAAGCGGCAGGTTCCTAAATCACGATGGCTGCACGGTGTGCCACAGCCACCCAAAGCATTATATATATATATGATCACAGTAGAGAGGTATTCCTGAAACATATATATATATATATTTACATAATGCAGGAATAGCACACATGAAAAATAATCAGCTGTCGGCACACCCCTTCCAGCCACCCATGGTCTTAGCATGTGGGAAGGCATTTGCCCATCCACCCCTTTTTAAAACTGAAATGGTGACTCCTCCTTTGGCGTTCTTCTTGTATCCCGGCAGGACCGGGTCAGCCTCATTGACGTAGATTTGGCCAGCTTGCCACCTGGGCCCAAGGAGGGACTAAATTTTAAGGATAAGATTTTATTTTGTACAAGTAGATTCCAACAGTTGTCCATATAAATATAAATATGAACCCGCTTAGTCCCAGACAAAATGCCCAAAGCGCTGCCACTACCATTTGGTGAGTACAAAGTAAAGGACTTTCGCGTTGGCACATATCCATCAGGAATTGGGATGCCAGCAGCCCGCAGCACAGGCTCCTGAACAAACAAAGCTAAATCCACGTGTGAAAAAACAGGACAGGTCATAATTATTCAGTTCTTCTGCCATAAAGTTGTTATACTGACAGGTAATTACTACCAGTCCTTCTCCTCCCACAAATCAGCCAGCACTTGCTTCTGGTGGTCTGCATCCGGCTTGTCGGGTTTGTCTGGAACAGATCCATCTGCAGCAGGATCTGCTGCCACTTCCCCACCCTCAACTGACTCACCTGGTGTGTCCGTCGGAGTATCTTTGGGGACACTGTCATCAGTCCCAGCATTCGCTTTTTTTCCCTTAGCTTTGGCCTTTGCCTTTGCCTTTGCCTTGCATTTGGCCCGTGGTTTCCCATCCGCTGCTTCTGTCTCAGCTCTGCGCTTTTCACCCCGAAGTGCAGCTGCGACCTGTGAGCGTGAGTGGTGCCTGAAAGCTATGTATATATTAATATATGTGTGTGTGCATGAATATCATGATATACAAATAGTATGTATATATATATATATATGTAACATGTATATTTTGATATCAAGATCCAAGGATAATCTTTTTATATTCTTTTCTTGATTTTATAGTGTGTGTGTATCAGTATGAGGTCTAGTCTAATATCTACCAAAATCAATCTTGAGAATCACATCTATATGAATCCAGTTGACTTTCAGATACTGATTTTGAAAACATGTTAGTCTTCATTTCCATGAGGATATTTTGTTGTTGTTGATGATGCTGTGTTTGATCTAAAATTACCTGATTTCCAGTGAAGCACCACACACGTGGAACAGCTCGTTTCCGAGCCTTGCTATGCGCCTTTGCAAGGTCAGCTGCACCACCATCGCCCTTATCCAACATGCCACTGGAGAGAGCCTTGGCTTGCTCCTCAAGTGATGCATCCAGGTTGATGCCAGTTGGGAGGAGTGGTTTCTTCTCCTGGCGGCCGGTGATTCAATGAACCATGTGAAATTCTATGAACATGATTTTTTGATTAAATCTGGATTCGGATTAATAAACCTGACTCCACTTTAAGTAGGTGATATATATTATATATATAGTTGTGGTTCTGAACTCTGGTCAGGGTATAGGTTTCTCTTTATACATCTCTATAGATATAAAAACAAAATACTTAATATGAGTTAATGTGTTTTCCTAGCCAAAAATCATAGCCAAAATCAACCCAAAGTCATGTCTCCTTATGGGCTTGGCGAGAAGCAGCTTGGGCACAAACAGCCAACGGTTCATCAGCCTAAAGTTCAGGGGAGTAGGTTCGGTCAGAAAAGAATGCTCAAGGGAATCAGGCTGAGATTATGGCATGGGGAGGCTTCTCATCAAGTTCAGGCTTTGCAGGCTTGTTTTGAATTTCAGCCTGCACCCACACGTGCATACCAACACGGATAAGTATGACTGGATTGTTCATCAGCCAAAAACCAGCATCATATTAAGTACACACTGTTTTGGCCTTCATGCAGGGCATCTCTGATTCCTTCGGGGCAACAGCCTCCAAAGTAACAACATGCATCCACACACACACATATAACATATATATATATATATAGGTGTGTATATATACCCTTTTTATATACAACTGGATAGTGCGTTCCCCAGCCAAGAACAAATTAAGTGCAAAAGTTTTCGGCCTTCGGGCAAGGCATCTCCATCGTCGACTCCTTTGGGGCCATGACCTGTCACAGATTTGGGAAGAGCAACCCCCAAAGTTTTTTTGTTGCATCATTTTCGTGCTCATGGTTGCCACTAGCCAGGACGATTGATACAGTAGATTGATTTTCTCACATCAGATCCAATCAATCATCAATCGAAAAAAGCAAAATAATATTAGTTTCAAAGTGCATTGTCTTACCCTGTTGGGGCTTCAAAGAAATATCATTTCATAGGTGTGAACAAAAACCCAACAACCCTTTTACTCGGGTTTGGGAAGCTCTCCGAAGCCCACCTCACATGTAACCAGCACTTCAGATCCAGAGGAGGTAGAAGAACTGGAGCCATCCCCATCCTCTGCGCAAACATTTTCGTGATTTATAAATGTAGTCCATAACCAAACCATACAAGATTGCGAACTGATTCAGATAGACTACGCGTTTGTTGTCCTGAATCTTCTCTAGCTGTTTCTGCGGCAAGTCTTCCGGGTCAGCTTCATGATCTGGATCTGCAACTGGCCAGAGGGCATGGACTGTGGAAAAAATACTTATGTGGGGATGCCTCAAAATGAGGTGTCCTTTTTTGTCCCCTAAGGCACACTTTTGAAACCCAAAAAGGGCACCTCATTTTTGAGACATCCCATGTCTAGGTATATGAAAGATCAAACAAGAAGAGTATAAGTTTGAAGCCATAAACAAAATTATTCCGAATCAGGGTTTGTCAGTGTGCCATACCTCTACCGGTGATGATTTTAGATGGTATCACATAACTCATGTATTGGAATAGTTAATGTAGCGGGCCTGCAGCAAGTGACGCCTGCACGCATTGCTTGATCAATCGGATCTGCCAGCTCCTGCGGCAGTAGACTTTTAACTAGGCCGAGACATATTTGGAATGTACCTAGGTGTGAAGGCACCAAAAAATTACCCTTGAAAGGGGTAATTTTTTGAGGGTGTCTTTTTCAGCTGTTTGATGATTGCTGTCAATAAGAAATAACAGTTCCTGGAGGACGCGCTTCGGGTGGACAAAGTGACCCCATGGACTCCCAGGGCGCGGGCAAAGCTAGCCGTTTGCGATGCCCAATCCTGCAAGACTAGCTCAGTTCATAAAGATGAATCAAAATATTGTAAACACAACGTTGTGAAGCACTTAGTCTCCTTGATGGCCTTCTTTGTCGTTCCCTCACCAAAGACCCCATACAGCATGGCCTTCTTGTAGAAGATTCCCTGAATGGAGAGACATCATGAAGCAACCACCATTTAAACTGAAAAAAAATGCAAAGTTGGAACATGTTGCAATTCTCTTTCCATGACGTAACCCAGCCTTGAAGGTCTTGTGTGGCGGCCATGGGTCAGCTCCAGCAAGGGTAGCGCACAGCTCCATAACCCAAACATGATTCTGCTCCAACGCCAGAGCACAATCAGCCCCAAAACAATCAGTCAGATTAAAGAGGGACTTAGTTGGATCTTGGCGCAGGGCATGAAGGTCTACCTGGTGAAGGAAGTAGCTGTTGACCATGTCCTGCCCAATGAAAACCAAGCTCACGATCCTACTTGGAAACTCTTTTCGATTTGAGTTCAAGTGCCCATATGAAAAATAAAATGTAACAGCAAGTAGCTGTTGATCATGTTTTGAGATTTCGTTTTTCATATGTATACTTCAACTCAAAAGTGAAACGAACGCAGGCAAAACTAAATCACCATTTAGCTCCTCAAGCATCCCAGCATAGACTTCTGGGGTGGCTTCCTGGGAACTATGTTGAATTCAAAATGCTCAACTATATGTTTGGCCTACTTCCCAACTTGCCCAGTATATTTGTCCACTTCTGGGGTTCTGGCTGCCATGAGCCCGCACCGAGGAATCAGCGGGGCAATCTACACTTCTGAACAAGAGACGCCGCTGAGGAAAAAAAGGTTTCAGCACACACGGGCCGGTTTGAATCTACTTTTGAAAACACCTCATATGATCCTGAGATATCCTGAGGAGTGCAAAGCACGAAAGGGGCGCACCATTATCATCTGATGCCTTTCTTCGTGAGGTCTTGCCCCAGTGGCCTGAGCACGCGCATATGCCATCAAACTATATCTAGTTTTTTCCCCAAAAAATGACCTTGGGCGATGACCACGGATCACACCCCTCTTCATGATCCATTTGGGCGACCTGGGCTATGTGAAAGGCTCTTGGGTGTATAAATACATACTAAGAAACTGAAATTGAGGTTCCGGCTCATTTGACTATTCAATTTCTCTATCAGATTGGTGAAACATTCTTGACCATCCATGCCAAATGGCTGCGATGCAAGAAGTGAACCCGGAGTTCAGCAACTTGGATATCACTATGGTGGGTTAGGGGGTTTGATAAACAGAAATACATCATATTTTATATAAGATTCTGAGATTTCAATAAATTTCGACAAATTATATTTCGATAAACACGTCCGTAGGCCCCGGGAACCGACATTGCAATGTAGCCTCCGGGAGATGACATTTGTCCGTAGGCAAATATTGCATACATGGATTGTTAGGGCATTGAAAGATGGTGATTTTCCATAGTTATGTTAGTTTATCAGAGGGTAAATGGTGGGATTGTAACGGGATAAACGTGATAAACCACCTACCAACTGGTGATTGGGATTTCGCAACCAAATGATGGGGGACAATGGTGGACCTAAGGTTTGCCAATAGTGGATTGATATGGGAAAATGATTGGCAATAATAGATCTAATAGATCTACCAATAATAGATCTAATAGATCTACCAATAATAGATCTAATAGATCTACCAATAATAGATCTCATAGATCTACCAATAATAGATCTCATAGATCTACCAATAATAGATCTAAGGTTTACCAATAAATCTAATAAACAAATCCTTTGGCTCATGGGAAAATGATGGGGACGATGTGTGGATAATGAAGTATATAAATGCAATGCCACCATGGGATATGGTAGGATATTCATCGTACACGCCCCCATTTATACATTGGTTATATATATATAAGCCCATTAACTAGTTTGATGTATCATCAACAAAAACCATCGTGAAATTGGAGTTATGTGAACCCCAACTTAGCGTTCTCGAACGTGGGCACCCCTTGTAGAATATGGATTGGCACACGGTAAATCCACCAGCCTTTTTCTGGTGGAATCTATAGTTTAACAAGCAGATCCAAGTCATGGGTCTATGATAAGGACACTCATGGATAATGAGGTAAACCCAATAGCAAGCCCAGCAACCGGGATTTATATACCCATAACGGGGACTTAGACGTATATTATTATACTATATTATACTATATTATATATACACATATGTATATATATATTTATTATAATGATTATTGATTAATGGTTACTATTGGTTAAAAATCGGCAAATCTCGTACCACGTGCCCTGACTACGCTTTTGACAACGGGATGATGTAACATGACCCCGCATTGTGGTTAGTCAATAAGTCAATGGGATGGTTTATTATGGTGATTACCCGGCCTGGTAAACATACAAAAAGCTATTGAAAATGGCCATAGAAATGGCCATTTATAGTGGATTTTCCCACTCAAAATGGTGATTTTCCATAGATATGTAAACGTTTACCAGAGGGTACCGCATTGCTGGTGGGTTATGACAGTGCGAATGTAATGGGACAAGCAACAAAAAACAACCACAAGCAACAACAGCCAACAATAACCACCAATAGCCAACAATTGGAATGATGGGGATAATATCTATTCTAGAATGGGACAAAGATATATATATATATAATATAATATGATGAGAACATTGGAAAGGCAAAAACTATGCCCTTCACCCGTTCATATTGACACCGTTCCGAAACCATGGTGGATGATGGTGGATGTACAGTCAGGTGTTGGAAAAGACTTTTGGGACCATAGAATGGGGGGTGTTTAGTATGATCGGGGGCTAGGATTATATACCATCAATAATCACCGAGAGAGATGGATATTTCAATGGCCATTTCAGGAACCGATTTATTGGAGGTACCTACCATATATAAGTCCTATGTAAGGCCTATGTACTGTAAGGGAATATCCCTACAAAATATGGCCTTATATGGTACATACCTCCATTTTAAAATCCGGGAATTCCCATTGATATGATAATTAGTGAGAATATGATAGGAGAATAGCGGAACATTATTTGACAGTGATGAGAACATATGGGAAGATGGGGATAATAC